TGCCAAACATGTTCTCGACAGTGCACATAGCCAGAGTCATACTTGCAAACAAGCTCAGGTCCAAGCTCCTCTGCGCTCGGCGAATTGGCCTAGTAGCATTGTTATGCCGTACATATCAGATGGTCGCCGATATTGACAGGCTCAGATTGAACATTGATTTGCGTCGAGACATAGCCGATGCAAAGCCGTTAATGTACCGATCTTCCTATCAAAAAGCAGACTGCTTACAGACTAATTTCGCAAAAACGCGTAACTCCCGTTTTGGACAAGGGCCACCAGGACTGTTGCCCCGCAATCACGATGCCGTCCTCCCGCGTGATACACCGCATAGGGCTGTCGGTATTCCCAGATTGATTTCGATATGTATAGATGATGATCATGCATGTCGGGAGCCAAAGATGTGCGAAGCTGGGGCAAGCGAAAAGCTTATTTTCACGTGGCTGCAGATGTGCTGATATTGACATGGCATAAGCCAAGAAGTAAGCCATCACGGAAGAGTGAAGTAAGATTTCCTTTACACAATTTCTCTGCACGCACATGTTTGCCCCCGGGTTCGTTCACCAACGATACGATGTGGCGAGTCAGACGTGTGGGTTGCGCAGTTTGTGCGGTGACTCGCTAAACCTCATTTGTGGTGACTGCGCGACTTGTGCGGCCGCCACTGTCACGCTTTTCGACAATGAATCACAATCGTAGGTAGTAATGACATATCACGCAGAAATCACTCGGGAAAACGTAGTTTCACTTATATGCAGAGTTTCTCAGTATTGTGTTGTATACTCCTTGGACTTCTCTTTCTTCATCTACGCCCAGTTGCTTCTTTGATTGCTTTGATTGCGTGAGGCCAGCCGTTGGCTATTTCCCAGGACTGGTGCCCACTACGACCAATAATTATCCCCCAAACCAGAAGCTCATCTACCCGGTCGACTGAGGACTACCGATACTCTCGATATTGCGTAGCCAACGTCACCCAAAACCCGAACCTGTCACTATGTCACCCGCGGCACCGTCACCCAGATTGCGCTACCAAGCAGTAGCGAGCACTATCACCACAACATGCTTTATTTCTAATCTACATTGCCCGTCATGTGTCGACGGTATCCAGGCCTCTCTCAGCGCGCTCGATCCCCCGCCACAGGAAGTTTTTGTTTCCATCGTTTCGCATTCAGTGGTTGTGCGCCACGCCACAAGCCTTGACGTCGACGACATCACGGTCTCGCTCGAGGCTGCTGGATTCGAGATACATAGTGTATTTCAGGACAACAAGGCGGTTAGGAATCCGATTGAGGTTAAGAACCCTGAGGGAACGAGCAGGGAGTGGCATACAAGCTTTGAACGCGCTGTAAACGATTGGCTACGTCCTGTCGCAGACCTCGACGGTTCGCACGACGACATGAAGAAGAAAGAGACACATATCGCTCAATGTGAGCAGTGTAAGAGAGAAGGTGGCGGAGTCACCTTGCACAGCCAAGAGGTATCGCCGTTCAAGCCTGCGCCTATCGTTACGTCTTCGCCTAAGGGTAGTTTTGATGGCTCTACGTCGCCCGAACCAAAGTCTCCCACATCTGAGGCATTTGTCGCTGTCGACTCATCGGTCGTTCCACAGGTTTACAAGGTGACGCTGGCCCTCACCGGAATGACATGCAGCTCATGCGTCTCCGCTATCACCCATGCGGTTCAACAACATCCATGGGTCCAGTCGGTCAATATAAATCTTCTGACAAACAGCGGGGTGATTGTATTCAGTGGCAAGGAAAAATGCGGAGAGGTCGTCGAGACGATTGAAGACTGCGGTTTCGACGTTGCAGTCGAGAAGCTGGAAGAGGTCCAGCACATGTCATCAAGAACGCTGGCGGCATCTAAGCAGCAGACCGAGAAATGGCGCGCAACATATTCCCTCGGAGGCCTCACATGCTCCGCATGCGTCGGAAACGTGAATCAAGCGCTGCAACCTCTTACATGGATCGAGAGAGCCGACATTAACCTGATCTCGAACAGTGCAACCATCGTTTTCCGCGGCAAAGAGCATCTTCCTGAGATCAAGGAAACCATCGAAGATATTGGATACACTGCAACACTAGATCAGGTCATACAAGAAGGAACTGCATTGACCGAGAGTACGGAACGTTCTGTCGCAATCCGCATAGATGGTATGTTCTGTCACCACTGCCCGGACAACATCACGCGAGGACTGCAAGAAGCGTTCGCAGAAGAAGAGAGTCTCGTGATAAAGGATCCGCCGATATCTCTACAGCAACCTATCCTTCACATCAGATATGTACCGAATTCTCCTCGGTTCACGATCCGAAAAATCTTCGCAACAATTGAAAGCTTTAACCCTGCATTCCAGCCCTCGGTCTTCCACCCTCCGACTCTTGAAGAGAGAGCGCGCGAGATGCATGCGCAAGAGCGGACACGTATCCTGTTCCGTCTTGTGCTGTGCATCATAGTCGCTATCCCTACGTTTGTCCTTGGCATCGTCTTCATGAGCTTGATTAGCTCTAGGAATCCTATACGTAGATACCTTATGGGTAACATGTGGGCAGGCAATGTCACTCGACTCAGCTGGGCGCTCTTCATCCTCTCTACACCCGTCTACTTCTTCGCCGCCGATACGTTCCACCGCCGCGCGCTGAAAGAGCTGAGATCGATGTGGCGACCAGGGAGCCGAACACCGTATCTACATCGCTTCACACGTTTCGGCAGCATGAACATGCTCATCTCGCTCGGAACAACGATCGCATATCTGGCGTCTATTGTTGAGCTCATCTTGGCCGCTACGAAGAAGTCTTCTGGCTCGATGAATGATTCCTACTTCGACGCGGTTGTCTTCTTAACCATGTTCCTACTCATCGGTCGATTCTTGGAAGCTTACAGTAAGGCGAAAACTGGCGATGCTGTTACCTCGCTTGGTAAGCTTCGCCCAAATGAGGCTATTCTTGTTGATGCGGAGAAAGGCGACACCAGGATCGCTACTGATCTTCTTGAGATTGGTGATGTCGTCCGAGTTCATAATGGCACTTCGCCGCCTTTCGACGGAGACATTATTGAAGGGAACTCGAACTTTGATGAGTCGAGCTTGACTGGTGAATCGCGTCCGGTCAAGAAGGCAGAGGGCGACACGGTCTTTTCCGGCACTGTCAACAAAGGCGCTCCAATCAAGATCAAAGTCACAACCGTATCTGGTACTTCCATGCTGGATCAGATTATCAATGCTGTGAGAGAAGGACAGTCGCGCCGCGCACCTGTTGAGCGTGTCGCTGACACGATTACCTCGCATTTTGTACCTTTTGTCATTGCCGCCGCCATAACTACATGGCTTATTTGGCTGATTCTCGGTACTACTGGGGCCATACCTAGCGACTGGAAGAACGAAAGTGCTGGTGGTTGGGAGCTCTGGTCTCTCCGCTTCGCCATAGCTGTCTTTGTCATCGCCTGTCCTTGTGGCATCGGTCTTGCCGCGCCAACTGCGCTCTTTGTCGGAGGCGGTCTGGCTGCCAAACACGGTATCCTCGTACGAGGGGGTGGTGAAGCTTTTCAGGAAGCTAGCTCATTGGACTGCATCGTTTTTGATAAGACTGGTACCTTGACACAAGGTGGTGACCCAGCGGTGACAAACCACAAGTTCTCTGACAACCAGAACGCTGCTTTCGTGCTGGGCATTGTCAAGGCGCTCGAGGAGAACAGTAATCATCCTATTGCTCGAGCACTTGTATCGTTCTGTGACCAGGAAGTTCACAATACACCCGTTGCGGTCAACGTTGATGAGGTTCCTGGAAAGGGTTTAAAGGGTACGTTTAGGATCGATGGTCGAGAGATTACCGCTATCATTGGTAACGAAGGCTTCATGGCTGATCACCACGTACCCATTCTCGCCCAAGATGCCTCATCGCTACAGAAGTGGAAGTCTCAAGGTGAATCGGTCGCTTTAGTCGCATTGTTCCTACCACAGAACGGCGATCAAAGTGCTCTTCAGCCTTCCAAGCCTCCCACTCAATCGGAGTCCCTATCAATCGCCATTACCGGAACCCCAAGCTCATCATCATGGAGACTCGCATGCATCTTCTCCATCGCTGATCCACTGCGTCCTGAAGCACCAAGCGTTATCTCAGCTTTGCAAGAACGCGGTGTAGACGTATGGATGTTATCTGGCGACAACCAAATCACCGCCAACGCCGTAGGTGCACAAGTCGGTATCCCCGCCTCCAATATCATCGCCGGCGTGCTGCCAGACCAGAAAGCAGAGAAGATCAAGTACCTCCAGCAAACGCTGACCAAGCCGCACAAGTCCTTGTTTCATATCCCGTCTCTATCTCGAAACAAGAACTTGAAAGAGCAAAACATGAGCAAGCAAAAACGTGCAACCGTAGCCATGGTAGGCGACGGCATAAACGATGCACCCGCTCTCTCCACTGCCGACCTCAGCATAGCAATAGGTTCCGGATCCGACATCGCCCTTTCCTCGTCCTCGTTCATTCTCATCAACTCGCGTCTCACGACCATTCTCACGCTCCTTGACCTCTCGCGCGTGGTCTTCCGCCGTGTGTATTTTAATTTCGGATGGGCCCTCGTGTACAACTTGGTAGCTATGCCCATTGCTGCTGGCGTCCTATTTCCCATTACGACTGGTGGTATTAGCAAGAAGATGGATATGCATCATAATGGGATTGGGATGGAAGGGGGGATGGCAATGGAGGAGTCTGGTAGGAAGCATGTCAGGCTTGATCCTGTCTGGGCTAGTTTGGCTATGGCGCTGAGTAGTGTGAGTGTGGTTTGTAGTAGCCTGGCGTTGAGGAGTAAGGTTCCTGGGCTGGGTTTCAGGGTGAATCGGGGATTGGAGGAGTTGGTGGATGGTGTGGGTAAGAAGAAGGAAAGGGCTGGGGACGAGAATATTGTGTGAGAGGTTTGATGAAAGATGGGGTAGTTTGTGTGGTGTGATATTCCTATAATCAGACTGTCCTAGATGCAAACTACTCGTCCTAAGGGAACATTTCTTTCCTCTAGAGTGTCAAACGAAAATACTTGACGAGAATGGGAAAGATGTCTACTGTGAGTGCGCGTGCGCAGTAGATCACTGACCTGAGTAGAGAGAACTGAGCTGCAGCACGTAGCCGGCCAGTCTCTGGATAGAGACCAAGAGCCGCTATGAAATGGACTAGGCCGCTGTTGGATGGCTGGTGGCACACTTCCTGGCAGATGAGAGATTGGGATAGGCGTAGGATGTACTTCCGCTGCTTGGCGGTTGTAGTAGAGCTATCGTGAGAGGAGACATACTGCCGGAGCCGCTCTGCTGCCAGCTTCTGCCTGCCATGCCATGGGAAGAGACGAGCAATGCTGGCCAGTGCTGGTACGGCTGGTGCTGCTGGCAGTGGCTGGCTCTCTCGCATACCTGGCGCAGCCTGCTCCGGGTCAATAGCCACCATACGGAGGCAATAGCAGAGTAGCCGCGCCCAGAGCCGCGCTGCACGTAGCTGACTGGCCTTGTTCTACATGCGGCTGAATGGACGTACATCAGGCTCCTGAGCCTTTGGACTGCGTAGCCAGCGTAGCGTCTCAAGAGAGAGCGTGCTAAGCCCTTGTACTGCTTCCTCTACCAGCTCCTCTACTAGCTGTACAACGCGCTGCAGCTGCGGCTCGTCGTCGCCTGGCAGGCGGATAGCGTACGCAAGCAACTTCCAGTCTGGGTAGGCCTGCAGGTGCTCGTCCCAGCGCGTCCGCTTGAACCAGCCAGTACGGTCTTTGGCTGAGACTTCTTCTGCTGTAAGCTCTATAGCCTCAGAGTCCTTCTGCTCAACAGCGTCCCACTCGTACGACAGGCAGGCTAGCCGCTGCTGGTAGCTTTCTGCCTGATCTTGCTGTGCCTTCTCTTGCTGCGCCCTCTCTTGCCTAGGCTGCTGGCTTGTCTGACTCCTATCTCTCTGCTCTAGCGACAGAGGCAATAGAGGTGGTAGAGATGGCTGCGGCTGCTCTGTCTCCTGTACGATAAAGTAGCGTACATAGCGTCGCTCCTGGAAGAAGGTCTGCACCTTGACAGGCCTCCACAGCTGGGCAGCATGCTGAGCGTACGATGGAGCTAAGAGAGTGGACCAACGAGAGAGCTTAACACTGTGCTGCTGGTTTTTATGTTGCTACATCTGCAGGCGGCTTGTAGTAATGTAGTTGCAGCTTTCGCTTCTGCTCTTTCGCTGCTGTGTCGGTTGACAGCAGAGATAGGCGTTCTGTGCAGCGCCTAGCTCTTGAATAGGCGCGCTGTATGGCTCTGGCAGCAACATCTGGCTAGGCAGGCTTAGAGAAAGACCTTCATATTCTACTAGCAACGCTCGTCGTTTAACAATAGGTAGCTTATGGTGTCGTTTAAGACGCTCGTCAAGGTCATACACAGCCTGCTAATACTCGCAGTAGATTAAAACTCCATAGGCAGGGAGGTAGGTAAACATTGCTTACTTGTTTATCTGCTGCTACTACTACTACTACTACTACTACTACTACTACTACTACTACTGCTGCTACTGCTGCTACTGCTGCTGCTGCGATAGGGTGATGCGAGAGCTGCTACTACAGAGGCGAGCTGCATGCAACGGAAGCAGCGGCAATGAAATGCGGGGCGGGGAGAGGTGGCTAGCCGATCAGCGATCACTCAACCAGATTAGCGAAACATTGCCAGGGTGGCACAGGACATGACTATGCATCACGGCAGGCGCCGTTCACGGCGGTCGCACTCCCAGTTGAGTTTAATTGCAAGCTTGGGGCGCCGTCTAATGAACACACCAGCCCAGTCCCTGCCAACAGGTGGTTGGTTGCGCCCTGCGACCTCCACATCTATGAGCCAGCACGGATGTCCTTGCTCTTCGAGGTTCATTATATCCTGAGAACCAATAGATCTTTAGTAGTTGTCAAATTTTATTGAGTTTGGCATACGAGGGTGTCGTAGAGAGGCCACACTCTGTTGATTCTTGCGGCGCGTCATCGACATGATGTCGCGTTCCATCTGATAGCTTGGAGTGCAAGCTACATGGTCCTTTTGTGTGAGTGCTTTCTCGCGGTTTCACGTCGAGACATTATGGTTCAAGTGAAGCTTAGTGTAGTCTTAGCAACACCAACGGCTTGCCCGTGAAGTACGTTACAAGCTTGGCTTAGTGGAAGATTACAACAGGAGCATTACGCGCTGCTCACTCTCAACGTTCACGAATGTCTATGCAGACCCGGATACTGCACGTTCTGCGCGCCGATATGTTATGTAGGCTATAGGCCTCTAGCCACCAATTATACATGCGGCATTTGCAAATCTTAGGCTTTTCGGGATATGTAAGCGATAATCTTGATATAGGACCCAGTTATAACAATATAGGCATGCCTTCGTATAATGCGTATTTCTTGGCTACACTTATACGCATACGCATACGCACCAACAAGTCGCTTCCATCGCAAAACGACAGGTCCCAGTCGGTACGACATCGAGACAGCGAAAGAGGCTAGGGACAGTAGCACAGAATCGGATCTGTTCAACACACCATTAAGCTTTTGGGTATTTAAGACTGTACTTTTTGCTCAACCTTTGAATCCTGTTAATTTTTTATCTGGCTCACATCAAATTCTAAGACAATTAAGATGAAGTTTACTGCTCTTTCGTTTGGCTTCGCGCTGACTCTCGCTTTCGGACCTTCGCTGGCCTTTCTCGCCGCATCACCTGACGCAGGAGAATGGAAGGCACCCGGCGAAGGTGATGGTACGTTCTTGATAAACTTCCGAAATCTCGAGCTTGTCTAATGCTTCGAAACACTAGATAGAGGTCCTTGCCCTATGCTAAACACTCTAGCCAACCACGGTTATCTACCTCGAAATGGCAGAGGAATCACCAAAGACCTTGCGGTCAAAGTCTTGGACGAGATTCTCAACTGGGACGTGTCTGTCGTTTCCGACTTATACGACTTCGCCCAACCTACTAATCCTGCACCAAACGCTACGACCATCAATCTGAAGGAATTGACGACACACAACATTCTTGAGCACGATGCTAGCTTGAGGTACGAAGTCTCTTTGCATGTCTTGAACGTTTCCTTGAATCAGCGGATCTGACATTACCCTCTCCAATCAGTCGTCAGGACTCCGAATTTGGCCCTGCGGATATATTCAACGAGCAAATCTGGAACGAGACGATCGCGTACTTTACGAGCGATACCATCGACGTCGAGATGGCTACCAAAGCGCGCACAGCCCGCACTACCGCTGCTGCAGCCACAAATGCTCATTTCACGTTTCCGCAGCTGGGCGCAAACTTCCAGTACGGCGAAACGGCGGCGTATCAGTTCGTGTATGGTAACTGGAACCTCGGTGCTGAAAACATTAAGGAACGTATCCTTACACCTAGAAAGTATATCGAATACTTTTTCAGTACGTTCGCCTACGATTACCCAATAGCTCTTGTAATGCAGATTAGCTGACTGTGACTTTTTCCTCTGCGCAGGAAATGAGCGCCTTCCTACAGATCTCGGCTGGACAAAGCCTGTGAACCGATTATTCATGGACACATTACAAGCATTCACTATTAGCATGATGGATCTCACTCAAGTCCAAATGGATGGTGCAGCATGAGCTCTAGAAGTAGAGATGTTCAAATCGAGAATTCCGAGACTGCATGAGCGCATTATTGCCTATGCGGTACATAACTCATAGAGACAATGGAGATTTTCCGAGCCATGTTTTGGCGCCTACAAACGTGCTCCTAATTTTGATGTAATTAAGGTTCCGGGTAGAGATCGCAACGGTCTCTACAGGCCGTCGCACCTTCCCGCGCGGCAGTTGACATATCTAGAGTCGCTATTGCAGCCCTGGTAGGCACAGACAGACGAAATCCGCGAGAAAGCTCCTGAACACAACACGTCCTTTTAGACACAGTGGCAGCCATTTACCCACGTTATAGCAACGCAAGACATGGCAACGGAGCCTAGACAACCCTTAGACATAATGGTCAAGGTACACGTACACAACAGTCGCTGATAGGTTGTCTAGCTGGCCCACCGCCATCCGACAACATCTGCAATGCCCCGCATTGACAAGCCGTCGGGTGGGAACAGCATCACCTCTCACAAGATATGTCCGAGCCTTCGTCTTACCAGATGGAATCCCTTGAACGAGCGACGCCCTCCACTCCGATCAAGGAAGGCACGCGTAGCAGTTCCGACAGCTGCGAAGAGTACTCCGATGACGAAGACATTCTGGCGGAAGATCGCCCAGGAGCGGTCTGGGACGAGGACCAGAACTGGGCGCTCTGTGATACAGATTGTGGATGGTGCGGACATTGTGCTGATGGAATGGATTACTGAGTCGTCACGAACAGAGGTTCAATAAATGTTTTTTGACATGGAATCGTTGGTGTTTCGCTCAATTCAGCACGGCCTTTTATAAGAATGGTTTCTGGAAGCATTTGAGGCGCTCGTGGAGTCTAGAGGTTATAGTGACGCCACTGTGCTTCAGTAGCAAACGACAATGTATTGGCTGCGTGGACGTAGCTGCTTTTCTACCCCGAAGGCGCTGATGATGATCTGTATGTCGTTGTCTAGTAGCAAAAGTGGCAATATCTTTCTTTACCACGCGCTAGAAGGATCGAGTTTTACATATCCAGCGTTTTGCAGCAGTCAAAAGTTGAGAACCTTTGAACCAATCGAAGCTTCCTAGTAATCGACACGTGATACGGATACTAGATAATCCGCTGACAGGCCGTAACCCCGCACCTGAACGCCATCAGGCCTCGTCTGAATCAGACAGACAATACTATCGCTCCTGAGATACTACGTCAAGCTGAATCACTTGATGAAATGAAAGCTTTCAGTACATCCTTCGTGCTGTTGACAGTCGTCGTTTGCAGTGTAGCTGCCCAAGGTAATTGCGTTCTTATGACTCCAGTGTTTCCAATACTAAGAGAGAACACAGAAGTGCTTCATCCTGGTAAAATCGGAGTTCATGAAGATGATCAGACTCTGGACGCTCTAGTCAATCGCGGTGGCTGGGTAAACCCTGAAGATCTGATCCCTATGCCACAGTGCATCGCTCAACAAAATTATTCCTCTTGGCTAGGTGCGATAACGAAATGTACGGATAAAAGATGCACTTCGCATTTCGGAGTAATTTGTACCCACCACCAGTGGCTCACTCAGCTTAGCTGTCTCAGCACTGAAATTTCCTCTGAGATGGTTCGGGCCTATCTCCCATATTGCAGCCGATCCGTGCTTGCTAAGGCGCAGTTATATCGATGGATACGTACAGTCACAGACCGGACATGGCTTGTTGATGTCGGCGACGCCAATGAGTTACAAAGCCTCTCGCCAGCCTCGCTCACTAGAGGGTATGCCACTATGGATGTGACTAATAAGGCACCAACGTGCCTGAAAGACTCGGCTTCTGCATCATCGATGGAACCATTCCAACGCATAATGGCCTCCTGTGCTTTCGCATCCAACACTCAGCATACCGGGAATGCCGCTCGGCCATGGGAATACAGTGAATCATTGCGGTCCGTTATCGCATTGGATTCTGAGACGGTCGGTTACGATGTTACTCAGCATAGTATACGATATGGCGATTATTTCGATAAGCAATGCTTTTGTGACGCATTCAGTATAGACCTGGAGACGGAGCCTTGTTCAGCTCCGGGGCTAGCTTCAACAAGGGAGCGGCTGTGGTTGAATGCCACTTGCGGCTCGACTTCCCTACCCATCAATTGGACAGACGGACTTCAAACGACAACACACGCTTATATTCCTACCGAGAAATGGTGTTGGCCTGATTGTGTCGCTTCTATGCCAAAAAAAGTAATTGGGCTTACTGATCGGTGTGCGACTGACGCTTGCGAGTCTGATTCAAATGGCTTTTGCAAAATAAAGCGTTCAATAGACAGGGCTTGCTTCTGCCGCAATATAAGCTACAGCATTTGTAAGGGATCATGCCATATCTTCGAAACCCGGATAAACTACGTAACATGGCTCCACGACCTTTGTGGCGGCGAGCCAGGGTGGCACAGCTTACCGAAGCATTGGCGCCAGTTAGCCGCCCCTACTCCTCTCGACATGATTCCTTGGAGATGGAGCATCAAACCATTTAAAGACTCGAAGCCGACCCCTATCAATCATTCGAAACCTCTGAAACCAATGCACGCATGTGCCTCTACCGACTGGAAGCTTGGGAGCCTTGTTTTAATCAACCTAGCCACTTTTCTTGCTGGTTTATTTCGCCCGAGAAATGTTGCCAGTCCCATAACACGTATGTACCTACGCTACCTGCACTCACAACATTGGATTCTGGGAGGGTTTTCGATCGCTGCTCTTCATCTCTGTGCAAATTGGCTCAATGCGGTTCTCATTCAGTCGACCCTTGGGTACGCGGATGTCCCAATCACCCAAATGATACTTCTCTGGTGCTCGATGCCTCGATTTACTTGGTTAACAGTATTGCTGGTTGTCTTCCAACCCCTTCAAGCGACGACGTTTTCTACAGTCAAGTCGTTCTTGTTTGCAGAATCGATCCTCCAGATGTTCTCGGCATATCATATGATCACGGCTGTCAGTTATGGCCGAGAGCATGGCTTCTATAGTCAAGGTATGGCAAGACTAGATAGGGTACTATCTGCTCGATGCCTATACGCGGGAGCACTTATGTGGCTTCTTGTCACTGTTGCGGCTTTGGCTCTCCTGCTGCAAGCTATATGTAGGGCAAAAATGTCAACTAGAGGCGCGAGATTTGATGGATTAGAGCCACGAACTGACAGAAGAACAATTCCGAGTGTTTTGGAGGAGCTAGTCGCGCCATTCAACATCTTTTGGACACGATTTGAAGAGAGCTTACTTTGTTCTTGGCTTGATAAGAGCTGGGTCCAGGAGCAACCGCTGTCGACGAGTAGCGAGGAACAGATTTACACAGTCTATGGTACTTTGCCTTCCAAAGTTCCAGAAAATCGGATCATCGAACAAGGCATGGTTAGACTGTTTCTGATCGCAATTGCAAGTATGATCTTCCTGTGGATCGCACAATGGTTGTTTTGGGCCGGGTTTATTGGCCTTAGCATGGAAGAGTAAGTACTCGCACAAATGCCTTGAGGTCAACCCAGCTAATTGCACCAAGATTTTGTCCTCCTAAACTTGGGGTCCTTACGGTCATCTGGATGATCTTCTCGTTGGCTATTGCTGCTGTAGCAGTACTTCCATGAGTCTTGAAGTTCTTGATAATTGAGATATCTGCATGTGAATTCTTTGAACGCAAGGAACGACTACATGGACTTCTCTTGCATTGTTTTTGACGTCTTACACCTAGCTTCTCATAGCATGAACTATCATTTCCTTCAACGATATCATCAAAATCATATAAAAGAAGATCCACGCTCTCATTTGGAAGCTGATTCGAAACACAGAGCAGCAACAGTATATCAGTGTACGCTCTCCACGCTCGCTATCTCCCACGTGAATAGTTCTTACATTACAAGCGGCGTAGTTGGAGCGGAGAGATAGCGGCCCAACCCCGGAAAAAAAGAACGTGATATTGTGGGAGGTAAGACTCTACCCATGTGAGAGCATTCGATAGCGTCATCTCCGAGGCCTACTGCTCGTGACAAGCTCTTCAAGACTGGGATGCAACTAGTCAGCACTAGATCTACCTCCACACAAGAAGAATACATCCTGCTTTGCTGCAACCTTGAACAGCCTACGAGAGTCTTGGCTGGACTATCTCCAAGTTAGCGCATACGCGGCCATTACCGAAACTGTGGTTTCTACGGATAAGCGGCATCCGATTGGTCACCTCCAGGGTCAAGATCGAAATCTCGTCGGGTAAGCGCAACCCGATTCGTTGACGTCAGTCCTTCTACGATACTTGGAAGCTTGCATCAGCAATCCGATTTGCACGACCGCAGAACTTAGAGGGCAAGAGATCCGGGCCTACTCAGTGCGAGGAGTCAAATGAATGGTGTTTCTGAGAAACGATTTATGTAAGCTGAGGGCACTTCCACTTCTATAAAGGCTGCAACCACTATGCTATATCACTAGAACATAATTGACGCTTACGTTCGAATTCTTGCTTTCCTCAACTCAACCTCGGCTCGAACACCCAGCATGTCACTTCCCGTCTGGCTCCTAGCCGTGCTTGTGGGGCTCATTGTATACTTGACAACCTACGTCGTATATCAGCGGTTCTTGCATCCACTAGCCAAGTTCCAAGGTCCTTTCTTCGCATCTCTTACAGATCTTTGGCAGGTCTCTGAGTTTCTCTCCCTGAAGCAGCCGTACAATTTGACTGCACTCCACGAGAAATACGGGCAGTTTGTCCGGTATGGCCCGGATAAGATTAGCACTACAGCTGAAGATGCTATACCGATCATTTACCAGAAGGGCGGTAGAATGTTTCCTAAAACTGAATTTTACGATGCCTATGGATCGCACATTCCGAACATCTTTGGGATGCGTGACGAATCGGTAAGTTTCTTGGCAGCAATATTGCTGAACTTGTCTTTGATACGATTCCTCAGAAACATTCTGTCAGACGACGACACATGTCTTACAGCTTCTCTGCCTCGTCTGTAAAAAAGATGGAAGACCTCTTGGACGAGAACGTCAAGATCTTGAAGCAGAAATTATGTAGATATGCTGAAAGTGGCGAGGCTGTTGACCTCAAAAGGCTCTTCAAGTTGTATACCATTGATGTCCTTGGCGAGTTAGCTTTCGGTCGGTCCTTTGCAGTTCAGGAAACTGACGATGAGTCCCGCGTACCACCGGTAGTCGAGCATAGCTTGCTCGCGGCAGTGACTGGGGCATGGCCTGCAATGACATACAGGCTGAAGCGATGGCTTCCAAAGGTGCCTTCTCGAACCTTGAAACGATTGTTCGAGGGCCGTGCAGCCGTTGCTAAACTGGCAGCAACGTGCGTTCAAGAGCGACTCACAGCCTTACGGAATGCTAAAGACTTCGACGATGATGCAGCCGCACCAGAACGGAAAGATCTCTTGACTAGCCTCATCCTGGCCAGAGATTCTGACACCGGAGAGGGATTGTCTCAAATCGATCTCGAGGCTGAAGCGTTTGGTTTCATGTAAGTTGCATTTGTCGATGGACAGTCGGCAGAGGTGAAAACTAATCATGGCACAGCATCGCGGGAACCCACACTACGAGTGCTACCACTTCACTACTCTTTTACCATCTGCTGGAAGCTCCTCAGATTATGGCAAAATGCGTTACTGAGATTGACTGTCACCTCCCGGCATTGTGTGAAGACAAGCCAGCATATGCGCTTGCGGAGGTCGAGGCTGCACTCCCTTTTCTCCGGAAATGCGTCAAAGAGAATTTCCGCGACACCCCAGTCTTCACAATGCCATTGGCTCGCAGAGTCCTTACTCCTGAGGGTATAACCATAGGAGGCGAGTACATTCCCTTTGGGGTAGGTCTCTCCGTGGCTGCAAAACCGGGTATCAACTTACTAACTGTCATATAGACCTCGATTGCAGTTTGCAACCATGCGTTTCACCACAATCCAGCTGTCTGGGGCGATGACCATGCCATTTTCGATCCGGATCGGTGGGAACGGCCTGAAACAGCAGCGCGTGGACGCTATTTGATGCACTTTGGTCTTGGTGGTAGGCAATGTATCGGGAAGACACTTGCGCAGACAAACATATATAAGCTGACGAGTACTCTACTACGGGAGTTCGCTTTCGAGTATGTACGGTTAGGGAGCAAAAGGGCGGTGAACCAAAGCGGAGAAAGAGGCCAGAGCCTGGGAGGATTGCCAGACATGGTATCTGTAGGTATCAGCGATCTAGAACAGCCTCTTATGGTCAAAGTCCGCAGAAGAAGTCAGTCGCCATGACGACCGCCCTATGCAAGAGACCTGCTCATGGCTCAGTGTGTGAGTAAGAGAACAAAGGGTTCTTTTTGGGTTCTCCAGTGGATCAAAAGGGTGCATTAAGATTGATAGTTTGAGGATGTAGAGGCTCCCAACCATCAAGTTTTCGCCTTTACCTGAGTAGTCAAGGTCCAGATGGATGAATGAAGATTTGGAATTAGCTTCGCCTTAGTGGGTGTTCTACAGAGGCACTGGCAACGTTGTGCGGGCGAACATCGTCTACTACGTGTCTTCGAGCGAGCATTGCGCTACCGCAACCGTACTCGGCAGCAATTTTGCGGTAGCTAATTTGCCCTTCTAGTGCAAGCGATCTGAACAGCGCGACCGCATCTTTTCCCTGACCCATGGTGATGGAGTCGTTGATGTTGAACGTTGGTGATTGATATCGGTGGGAAGCTCGAAGGGCTGGGCTCGCACGCCGGCCAGCCTCGGTACCCAGTCACGTGTTGCGGGACCCCGTGGGTTGCCGACGAGCGAGTGGGCCACGATCCTTCTATCTAGCCATTAGTTCGCTAGTCACTCAATGATGGCGCCACACTCTATCGTCACCTCGCCTCAAGATCGGGTGTCGAAGCGGAAACGCGTGGCTCTCGCTTGCTCGCAGTGTCGTACTAGGAAATCTCGCGTAATCACATCCCTTGAGTCCACCGCATACATCATCTAACAAAGTGCCAGTGTGACGGGCTACGACCTTCGTGCTCCACTTGCCTCGAGTCATCCTTACAGTGCCAATATCAGCGTCTGCCATCGCCACAGCTAAGGAACCCGTATGCGCCAATCGCAACGGGATTGCACATACTAATCACATCAAATCAGGACATATGCGCAACTCGCAAAGAGAGTCAAAGACCTGGAGGCCCAATTGCAATGGGCATCGGCATTCTCCGACAAACCTCTTCAGCGAGCGCCTGAGCCATTGGATAATCATGATGGGTCTGCCGTAGATCTGTTGGCTACTAACGCTTTTGACGAGTCACCGCAACAAGACATCGGCTATTTCGGTAAGCTGTACTACGCTCGGAATTACCGCCAGCTGACATGAGAGCGCCAAAGGCCCTACCTCAAACCACGCCCTTTTCAGGCTCCTAACTGCAGCTTTGACGCAAAGATTACCTATGTTATGCCGGCTCGCTGGACAGAATACTGCTCTCTCATCTGCCAGCTTCCTCGACCAACAACACTCAAAATCTGCAAAGCAAATCTTGGAACCACTTCCACAGTACAAGCCCACCAATCCGCAGCTTAGAAGTCACGTCGTTGCGTCAACAGATCAGGACTTACATAGTTTGATAAATCTCTTCTTCGAAGCCCAAGGTTCAGTCTTGCCATATGTCGACAAATACACACTCAGCTTCAATGGCGCCCAATCCCTCCTGGAATCATTTCACAACAGCTCAAACGCTAAGAAGGCATTGCTGAATATCATGTTTGCTCATGCGGCACTTGCCAAGTCATTTCCAGACGCTGAGGCATTTTACCGCCGTACGCTTGCACTTCTCGATGGATTGTCTCTTCGTGGCTCCAATTTGGAACTTGGTATGTGAGCATATCTGACCGAAAATTCTCCCACTTATGCCGTGAGATGACTTACTATTCAAAGTACAAGCGGTTCTACTGCTCTGCAATTTCCAACAGAATACACAACGCTCCATCGCAAGTTGGACCTACCATGCAATTGCAGTCAAGGCAGCTTTTCAAATGGGAATGCATACGTCTGACCTTGATGAAGGGAAAGATGCTCATTATTGTGAGATTTTGAGAAGAGTCTGGCTTGGTGTCATCATACAGGATAACACCTTGAGTATGGCGTTGGGGCGACCTCGTTTGATCCTTCCACCCCACATACGCGCATTACACGAACAAAAGAGGCTACCGAGTCTCACTGACGATGTAGTCTACTTTTATCAATTTGCGTGAGTAACCTAGGGCTGTGATAGATGAAGCTGACTTGCACGCAGGGAATTAACCAAGGTGAGAGCTTCAATTATCGAAGCGACTGAAGAGCGCCACTTCGGTTCCTCACAGCCCTGTACCATCCAAGAGATTCTTTCTCAAAGGCTACAGCATATATATAGACTCGAACAGTGGAAAACAAATCTTCCAACAGCGAGTTCATTGGCTACTTACGCGGAAATGGTGACGTGGTCGCCACCATCGTACAGTAACAACCGCTTCCGCACCCTACTGAGTATCCACTATCATGTCACCGTTCTACTCATCAATCGGCCAGTGCTAGATTCGATTACCGAACACGAGCTCGGACAAGACGCGTTCCATCCATGCGCCGGTGAAATCTCAATAGCCGTGGACAATGACTTCGCAGCAGCGAAAGAACTCGACAACATCGTATCCTGCATAGCCAAAACATGCCCAGAGTATTTGGATAACAATGCGGTCTGGTGGACCTGCAACTACTATGGTGAGTCTTTCCCTCTGGAATATAGACTCTGCAATACGCGATTGACATCAGATAGTCTTCACGGCCGCTTTGCATTTGTTCGCAATACTTCTTGCGAGCTACCAAGGCAAATCCACCGTGACAAACAGATTGCCTGACTCGTTGGAGATTCGAGAAGCCGTGGTATCAAGCTTGCAGACACTGGAAAGTATTGACAGAGGCAGCCTGATGAGCCGGAAAGGCCGGAAGTGTTTGGAGAGATTTCTGCATGTGCTCGAGACGGTTGGTACGTTTGAATGTTGTATCTGTCGAGGCGGATCGGTTGCTGACTCACCTCGTGATAAAGCACCACATGCGGCATCTGTGCCCAATGACATGTCATTCAATGATACTACGCTTACAGGCGCGTTCGATGATATGCTTGCACAGTTTGTCGCCGAACCCGCATGCGACTTTGTTCTTCAATCTAGCCAGCTAGGCTTTTTGGATTCAGATATGGGGTTTCCGGACTCTGAATTTGGCGGACAGCAGCCCTTGTGAAAGCAAGAGGACAACCATTTATGCCTTGACCAGGGGTAAGATTACGAAAGCATGTCAAGAGCCTGGTGCACTGACAACTGCATCGTGACGTTTCCATTTAGCAGTGACTGCTGGCCTCCGTTGTCTGCGACACACCCTCTGATTTCGATACGAGCGCTGGAATCGGGTTCAGATATCCTAACAATATCCCCTCATATTACTTCTCCTGCTTCTTGCCTACAACAACTGCCTCGCATTCCGATTTCTCCTCCTCATAGGCCCTCTGCTTGTTCCTCGGCAGATTTTACCTTGGCGATAAGAGCAATTCCGTCATTTGCTTCAAAAGCAGCGTTCGTTCTTAATCTGATTTGTCTGGCAACACGACTTTGATTCACTTTGAGTTCTTGTTTCCGTGTTAGTGCAAAGAGGAGAATGTTCCTTTTCCTACTTCTCCTCTTAGCCTGGCCATCTCGGCGAAAGAAGTTTTGTCGGGTTCGACATCGAGTTCGTGTTTTCCAACGCGTCATTCTGTCCAGGACGCCTCAACGGGAGATTCCAACTTCTTCTCATACATCGATGAGATTTGAAGAATATAATTGTCGCAGGAGCGTGATGCGGTGTCGTATACGCCCAGAGTCGGATGTGGTATCAGTTGCCTTGGTAGGGAGCTGGTCTCTTCTTGCCAATATAAAGCGATGTTGGGACATTTTGCAGAGGAGCCTGATGGCTTCCATTTTGACTCAGTGATGTGTTATGTGTATCTGCTGTCTGTACCCGCCGTGTGTTGCGTGCGGCTTCGATGGGTCAGAGATCGGCCCTTTGGGTATTGACGATTAGTATGCAATACCCTGCACGGTCCGAAATCATGCATCATGAACGCTGAACCTTTCAACACGCAGTAGCTGGAACGGGGTTAGTGCTAGGGTCTTTTCGGAGACGCCGGCTTATGTACCTTACATTGTCATCGTTGTCCCCCTGGTGTTCCTAAGTCTTATTTTTCTTTATCAGACTGGTCTTGACATTTTACTCTTTTTCATCATGGGAGAATCACAAGATAACAAGACGGCGGAACAGAAGATACTGAAATGGGGTGAGTTGTCGAGAAGTGAGGGTTACGATGTATGGTCACTCTACTACTCGGCAGATGAGATATGGTGTTAATATGTTATCAGTATCACGATGCGCTAGCCTCCAAGATAATGAATCTCGAGGAGGTCACGATTGCACCTACTGGAGAGGCTTCAGCAGTGTTTACTTTTGTGGTCCCTAAGACACTATGCAGGTAACGTACCGCCATGTATGTAAGATGTGGGTAAAAGTTTACTCACATTTCGGGCAGTGAGTAGCTCCTTCGTACCAAGTGTACCATGATACCACTGCGGCGAACTGGTGAGCTGATCTTGTCAGATTCTGGTGGTAACCTTCATGGCGGTGCTGTCGCATTGATCTTCGACATCACAACATCCATCACCATTGCGGCTATGAGTCGCGAAGGGTTCTGGGATGGTGGTAATGTTTCTCGTACTCGGTATGTACTTCTTTGTTATTCCACAAGCTGGTTTTTTGCTAACGTCGAGTAGTAAGTATAACTTATAACTAAAAGGTCACTGTATATTTAAATTAGACCGCAAGAGTACTGGACTGACGATTATACGTAAGTTAACTGTACATTTCTGAGACCTGCTGTCGTAGGCTCGAAGGTTTTCGTGGAGACTCAAGTCGTCCATTTGGGAAAACAGATGGGTCAGATGACGGGAGTGATGAGATTAGGTTCGAAGAATGGGAAGGTGGCTTATATGTGTGAGCATGGCAAGGTCAACATTGGAGGGTCGAGGTTGTAGATGACGCATTGAAGAAATGGCGCAATTGTAGATAGAGTGATACGAGACGAGTATTGATTCAGGCGTACAATTCCTAGACTCCAATAGCTCGCGAATGCTCGTTAGTCATTCGGGAGGGGTATGAGATTTCAGCCGACCATGTAGAAGGATGTGGTGTATCTGACGAGGTTCGCGCACAACGTGGTAGGGCGGAATGATGGTAAGAGTACATTTCGGTCCTTCTACATCAGTACCTCAGATCTAGAGCATGTTACATTCATCAATTGCCACCTGATAGAGCGCAATGAATTTGTGCAATATACTGCAAGTCACCATCTTTATGCAACACCACAAAACCTCTCATAGCAGAGTCTAGTGACGACAAAGACCTCATCAACCATGTGCCAAGTCAGTCGGTGCCACACACACACAATTCATTCAGGACCACATACATGCCACTCCAAAAATCATCAATCTAATCCCGTCCATCATGCTAGTCTTGTGACCACCTCATGGGGCTTGCCTGAACTCCTCTCGCACGTGAAGTCGACGAAGAAACTCCCATACTGCCATTCCTGATCTTTATCTCTCGAGCGGCCGTGGCTCCCTGGTGCTTCTTGTTGTCCTTGGCGAGCTTGTCCAACACGGCGGGAGTGATCATGGTCGGTCCACGAGGTCGGCGGTCGCGTTTGCCTTTTGCCGGCTCAGCTGACGTCATTTCGTGGTCTTTGGGGTCGATACTCTCTGAAGAGGGTGTCGGTGCGGCCATTGCTTGTTCATAGGCTGACATGCACCAACCAAACTTGGTGGGGACGGAAACGGAGGCGGGAGCGAAGGCGGGAGTGGAAGCAGGAATAGATGAAGTTTGTTGATCACGGGCAACATGCCTCGAGACAGTAGCGGGTTCGACCGTGATAGCAGGTTGAATGTCGGCGACACACTCATTAGAGGACACAGGGCAAGGGAAGGTCTGAAGAATCTGAGTGTCCTTTCCGTCTGAAGTATCCAGTTGCTTTTGTATGCCCTTGGGAAAGACAGTTTTGCGCACGCTGTTGACCCAGCGTCGAATCGTAGACCTATCCCCAGTCTGAACATGGGCATCGTGGAGGGTGACGCTGCCGGTGCTGTCGCTGCTCGCGCTGGGGCGAGCAAAACGGGTGTCCGGGGGGACAGGAGTCGACATGGTTGGTGACGTGACAAATGTGCAAAGGTAGATTTTATGTGTGGTGTTGGATGGATATTAGAGAGATGCGACGTAGAAAGAGATGTAGTATATGCTTTTCAATGAGCGATTTGTAAAAGTCAAGTTGAAGGCGCTTTGCTGTGATATGTATATTTCACATCTTACGTCGCCACAGTCGCGACGGTCACGCTGCAGTATAAAAAAAACGGCTATGACGGTGAGTTTGGTAATTTGAGCGTGGGCAGACTGTGTGTGCTACTGGCTGAACCAAGTCGCGATTGCTAAGATCAGGCAATGGGTAATAATGAAGTATACCACAATCGAATCACGATACGTGACGCTCAATCTATGAGCCATGAGCAGCGAATAGGGACGAACACGTATCCAAGGTGAGATTGGTGGACCAATCATGTCAACGACTGGTTCCGAGTACCAAGCAGATGCGGGATCTCTCGTGATGGCAAAAAAGTGGTATTCCCAGAATGATTCCTATAGCGCCTGCCCAATGCTCATACACTCTTATACACCAATATACAAGATCGCCCGGTTCGCTACTTGCGTTCTTGGACGGCCTGCTGGAGGGCTTGGGTGGTGCCCAGTGGCTGCGCGGTCCTTTCCATGGGCTTGTCTGGAACGACGACATCCTCGAACTCATCCTGTGAGATGGCGTTGATGGTGTAGGTATCTGCGGAACGTGAGTCCATGCTCTAGACAGAGGAGGCGGACGCCATACAGATTCCAATAACCAGCGTGCAGATAGCAGCGCCAGTGATTGTGTTTTTGATCAGGTACGGCGCGCGGGCTCGCAGCAGGGCCGGCGATGCCCGCATGCGGTCGTCATAGTAGGTCGATTGGAAGGGTTTGCTGTCGGGATTAGCATACACCCTCTGCGCTTCCACACGATTGGACTTACTATCCCATGTTGGCGTGCTGAGGCTCGGACTATGCTGCGGGGGAAGAAGGTGTCGCCGCGGTGGTGGTGAAGTTCCACCACGCTAGGCGGCCTTGGCGGCCAGGCGCAGATCATCATGGCACTGCCGCGAACCCTCCGCGTCACTCACCTCACCCGCAGCTGTAGCCACAACATCAGTCGCAACATCAGTCTCAAACACCAGTCGCACCACCAGTCGCGCAAACACGCCTTCTCTTCTCTTTGGTTGTAGCATTGCTGGGAATGGGAGCGCCCTTGACAGCGGATACTGGGCTTTGTCGCGCTCTTAGTTTGACTGCATTGCGCGCGTGAATCAGCGTCACTACTACTTCACCCTTTCAAGCATACACAGCTCGTCTCTTGTGCACTCGCCACCAACCACCGCCATGAGTTCGCAGACGATACAGCAGATGGAGTCGGCCCGGTCGCTCGCGTTAGGCGACGGTAGATACTATCCTACCATCATACCGGGCGTGCTTCCCATCATCGGCTACAGTGAAGACCAGAGCATCGAGATACAACGTTGGGGCGCCGACTTCCTAGCCGAGGCCTTTGCATCGCCCACATGGCCCCAGGAAGTCAAGCAGCAGAGCGCGCCCTCTGTCTTGGCTACCCTGAAGGCTTACCTCGAGAATGTTGAAGACAAGAGCGTCATCAAGAGCGCCATCCAGGCGGCTGCGAGCGTGTACCCGCTTGTCTACAAACACATGTAAGTGGTCCCACGCATCAGATAGAAGTCCCCATGCCAAATATGCCATGCCATGACATGCCTGCATTCATGCGAACCCGTTCTTATACTTGCATGTGCCAGTGTCTCCGACCCCAGCGATGCGCAAAAGTGGCAGCTCATGGCCGGCATCAAAACCAACATTTTGCGTCGCATGGACACAGCCGCGCCAGGTGTGCGCATATGTTGCGTCAAGTTTCTTCAACAAGTCGTCCTGGTCCAGACACCAGGCGTGGCAGACCCAAGGGTAATCACCACACCTCTTCCAACCCATATACATCCATCTGATACCTTGCAGCGCGCCGATCAAAACGACATCTCCCTTTCCCTCGTCTCCCGCGACCACCCCCTGATACCATACGCGAGCCTCGAGGCTGAAGGACACGGACTGTTGGACAGGTTGTTGGATATCATAAACGGAGATCACAGGTTAGATAGACAGTCGCAGACTGCCGGAATGCCTCTAACAGAGAATAGTGACGGCTTGCTCGTGACTGCGACCCTCAACAGCTTGGGCATGCTTATTCACCGTCGACCAAATGCTGCAAATAAGATCTTGACCAGTGTCTTCAACTTCAACCCTCTGAAGCTCGCCAATTCACCCATGACGCCCAAGAACAAGGTCATCATGAAGTCGATTGAGCGCACAACAAGAGCACTACTTGTAAACATCATGAAGAGGTGTGTCTGCCTTACTACCTCATGATACTGCTGATTCTCATGACCACAGGAATCCCGAAAACCCCGTCAATGGACGGATACAGCAGTTCCTGGAACACATGCATCGCAAACGGGTGGAAGTCTTCGATGAAGCGAATCGCAAGCGACCAGCACCTAGTGAGCCGACGGATGGTCTAGACCAAGCGAAGAGGCAACGATTAGTCGCGGAACCTCCGAGTCGTACGCCATCTGTTCAGCCGCTACCGCCTGGTGAAGTAAGCTGGCGACAACTATACACATTGAATGCTGAAGGCAGCACTGCCAACTTTGATGTACAAAACTTCAGAGATCCAGAGCAATTATTGAGGATAGTGGTGCCTGTTCTGCAGTCGGTGAACCCGCAAAAGCTCGAACAAGCTATCAGCGTATGTGATGTCTACTCGTCTTGTAGACTGCCAAACCCGTGGCTGCTGAACAGCAACAAGACCCACCAGCCATTCACTTGCTAATGTTACACAGGCCGTCCGCGCCCGGTATCAAACACTGAAGCAGACCGCTGCAAGCCGACCCACACAACCCTCGACAACCGCCGCCACAGAGGACGAAGAGGAATATGAGCCTGACTTCGAACCCGAAGACGCTGAACAACTCATCAACAAGCTCGATGGTCTTCCTTCAAACCCCTTCCCCTCACAGGGCGGACCATCGACCACTTTGGCCCCCTACAAATTGCCCGAGGCGCCTCCGTTATCAGAACAGGACGTTCAGAAGTACGGTGACATGACCGTACATCGAGCCTTCGGCATGCTGAGCAGTGTAGATGAGACCCAAAAGAGCAAGGTCGCAAAGGGCGGCTTCAACCGCCTCGCCGCTACCGACTACAACAGAGATGCCTGGGTCACTATACTCTCCCGACTAGCTACACGAGCAAGTGCTGGACTGGACGACCCACAAGATGGCATCAAAGACGAGTATGCGGTCAAGGACTCCAAGGGCAGCCTGCGCATCAGCGACATGGTAAGAGACGGTCTGTACCAATACATACTTTACAACTGGAAATCTCGCATCGACGTGGCCATCTCCTGGCTCAACGAAGAATGGTACAATGACATGATTCTTACCCAGACCGGTGAAGAAGACAAAGACTCCGCCACCACAACAAATGGCCACAAACACACATCCATCAAGTCCTCACCGGGTAATTACCACCGCTGCGCGCTTCGCCTCCTCGATGGCATCCTTCCCTACATCGAACATACGGATAAAATCATCATCCGCTTCCTCTCGGAGATCCCTCAAATCGACAAAGATATCCTCAGTCGCCTTAAGAAAATGGCAGAAGACCCCGAGCGCATTGACCTAGCGTGCAGCTGTCTTCATTACCTATACATGTTTCGGCCGCCGGTAAGGAAGTTGGTGGTTGATGTGCTGGCGGAGATGTGGACTGAGAATGAGAGGGCAAAACCTAGTGCGAGGAAACTGCTGGTCAGGTGGCGTCCAGAAGTACTGCAACAAGAGGAGGGACAGCAGAGGGGGGTCAGTTTGCCTACATTGGTAAAAGGGGAAAGCGGTGCGGCGGGGGGGGGATTGATGAGCAAGGAGAGTGCTAATGGGGCGTTGGAAGTGAAGCCTGTCTCTTAGAGATTTGGTGTAGGATCTGTTTTGGAGGAAGAAGAGCTCGGGGTGGTTGAGTGGGGCAGAGCTAGAAAAATGGGAAGTTTTATCTCGGGGGGAAGAAGTGTTGAACGAATGGGATGGTATATGTCCTCCGGCGTGGATTTCGAGCGCAGGAGACGAAGAAAGGCTTTTTTGTGTTTTGGAATTTGCGTGTTTCTGTTCATGACAGCTGTATAACTTTTGTGGCTATTCATGCGCGAGTTCCATTTTGTGCGAGATGTATGATGCCCGAAGCAGGATTAGAAGCGATGGGAAAGGGAAGGGCGACGGAACAGTGTGTAGCTCTACGAGTATTTGAGCTGCCAATGTACAACATATCAATTCATTCAGAAGAGACAGGAAGTCGTTCTACTTGTTCATGTTTTAGGGTAACACGCGACTCAGAGATTCTTGCGTAAGGTATTATGGGATGAATATAATTCTCTTGTACAGGTCCCAGCTCAAGCACATGGTTCCCTGCTCTCGTTCTCATCTGTTCATACTACCAAGCGTACCACTCTATCACACTTCATGATTCGCCCGAGTTACATCTTCAGCAAGAGCGAAAACAGTATCCCTCAACCATGTCTCTACTCCGTTTTCCCAAGCAACCCGATCATGCCAGTAGTTCGCCAGAGTAATGCATGCATCGATACCGTCCCGTACTCCAATCATCCCGTTGAACTTGTCCAAATCTCCAAGGTTGCCCCACTCTTCGACTTGGACGTTGCTGTGGTCGTAATGGCCATGGTCTGAGGATTGGCCTCTGTAGGTGTGGAAGTTTTCTATCTTGCCCCAGCGATCTGCTACGCCAGGTTTCATCTTTAGGGGCACTGCATAGGGTCAGATTGAATGCGTTGTAAGATGGTATGGGCATGACATGCTGTGACTTTCGAGTTCTTTGGCATTCAATGGCCAACGTCTAACATGCCCTCTGGCATAAGAGTCTTGTATGATATGGAAACAGCTGCCCAATGCTCGGCGTGAAATCATGGTGTCTTCATACTGCGTGTTGCCAGTGAGTAACCCACGCAGGGTCTCTCCGCCACTGGGAGAAGTGTCTTCCTTGAAAAACATTCGAAGTTGGTATCGAGATGAGCTGGAAACATCGATTTGGTCGAGTCTCATGTTTTCATGGATACCCTGATCGCCCACCGATAGCTTGTACATGATTTCCAGCCACATCATGATCTTTTCCTTGGTTTCCTGGGGCTCTTCTCTTTCCTGCGCAGCCATGGCATGGAGGAACTGCAAGTCACCAAAGTGGGATCGTCCTGTAATGGTTTGCCGTGGGGTGCCAGTTATCCATCCAACGAACCCGCCAAGTAGACCCCCTTCTGCAGATTCGTACTCTTTAAACCATTTAGTTCCATCACTAAGCCTGTAATTGTCGTGTGTGTCCTTCTCGAACAATAGGCATCCCGGATCGTCGTTCCAAACAGAACCGCGGACAAACTCCTTGATCTCCTTGGGAGCGTTTTTGTATGTCGTTCCTTCGGACATTGGGAACTTAGATGCTATCAAGGCAGCAATGGTCATAGTTTCATGGACCGGTTGATGTGTCTTGGTGATACCTCTGCCACCTTGAATTGCCATGTTAGCGAATATCGGCATTGGTGCCATGGGTAGCGGTTCGGTGTTTTTTGCGTCATCGGCATCTTCGCCTCTTAACAATGGCCCGGAAGTCATGACGAAGCGCGCGCTCTGTGTGGTTGAAGGTAGGTATTTGAGAAACGGAGTTAGGTTCTTCACACAGATGAAGCCACTTCAGACTGCCACTCAAAACGCATGCGTAGAGTATCATTATATATGGCATTGGCACGTCCGAAACTAATCGCATCCTCCAATCATGACCGAGTCTACAAATGAAGTCTCAGCAATCGCTCGGTCGCATGTAGTTCTGGTCCAGACTCAGTAGCTAAGCCACATAATATTTTCAATAAACCTCGAAGCCACATTCCTTAGCTAGAGTAGATAAAAAGGAATGTGGATCTACGGCCATCCCGAAAACCAAATACTGATAAAGCCTAGTATAAAAATCCAAGATCAGACATGCACTGTGGGCGACCAGTGGCTGGCTGAGATGTACATGTTACCCCAATGGGTAACAATCTGCCTGCAAATGGTACGCACTCGAGGTCTAGATCGAACCCAAAGTGTTTTATGACCCTTGTTATCCGTCCATGTCTAGTCCGTATTCGAAGCGAGAACACGCTTTCCTGCGCCCATCTATACTTAACTCGTCAAAATCGCCTCGGCTATTCCGTGAGTGGTTGTGTTTCGTCTTCTTTCGGACAGGAACCCATTATCAGTGCTGCAGATGGAAACTCATAAGTAGCCATGAACGGCTTTTGTCAATACCAGATAACAGCCTTTTCTTCAATATTGTTCCTCATCTATCACGTCGCCTCGTTTGAACATCGCTATACATATATCTGACGTCGGACTTCGGCCTTCAACTCCAAGATGTATTGGTCGTATTCGAAGGACCTTCTCGGGTTGAAACATGATACTTTGCGGGAGCGGCTGACGAAAAATGCTGATTCAATTGCGACTTGCACGGAAGAAATGAAGATTGCATACGTTGAAGACCTGGAGAACGTTGTTTCTATGGCGATCTTGACGGCTACGCTCTTACAACCCGGCCTTGCATCGGCGGCTTCTGCAGTGCTGGCGATAATTGCTGCAAGATATGCGGGACCACAAGGTCTACCCATAGTTCAGCCCGCCGATGTTCCAACAGAAACATGGGCAGCTTGGGTTACCGCCAAGGCGCACACTCTTGGGCCTAAGGCGTTGAAGGAAATCCTGACGTGTATCGGGACCAACGTGGTGGTTCCGAAAATTGCGCGTACGGTCACGGAGACCTGCGAAATGTACAACTCCAAGGAGACAAAGCAGATGTGCATCATTGTTGTCATCAATGAAACGGATTACGAAATCTCGAGGACGGACGGTTGGGACATGTTGCAGTATGGGCCAGCGGCCACGTTCAGCAAACTGCCACCGAGGCAAATCACAGACAGCGATCTGGTCTCCTGGGGTGTCTGGGCAACTGGCAGCGGTAATACATCGGGAGCTGCATCTGCAATCAAACTGCAAACCACAGCCTGTCCTCCAGGCGGGAAAGATTTCCACTTCATCGTTTCAGCATCATGTCCAGCGTGGACTCCGACGAATACAATGGCACTTACCATGTGGGGCTCTAACTGCGAGAAGGAGTGCCGGGATAACGAGAGTGTGAGTTCTCACGTTACTCCCAAACGTCGGGAGACTGTAAATGAAGCACATGTGGAAGTTAGTGCAGAGATTGAGAGTACAAGCGGTAAACGAGCGTTTGTCGTTGTCCGGATCACTTCCACTGCTCTAGTTTCACGTCCGAAGCTCTAAGGTAAAAGCAGTCGCTATAGCTAGGTTGTTCGGTTGAATAACCGACGATAGATTTCCCTGTTTCGGATGATGGTGTATTGGTGTCTCGTTGATCAGTAAGCGTGCGCTTTCACCATACGCATTTTGAGTTAGATATACACACCTATCGCAAGGAGACAAACTCATCGCTTAACTCCATGTATCTGTGCAGCAGATAATCGTTCGACTATGTTGGCTCTCTTCTTACTTCTGCAAATTGACCTTAACGCGTTGAATCATGACATATCAGTGGCGTGGTGACCTGAACCATGGGCAACCGGATCATGGGAATTGCAATGTGAATCCCCAAGCGGGTAGTTCTCTGGAGACGTTCAAGAGGGTGCTTGGGAAGGAGCTTCCAGACACGCTGACAAGAAGCCTCCATGTTATAATCGTTGATCCACTTCCCTAGTAGTGATAAGGGTCACGCAAAGCGTACTGCAGGCGTTTGATTAACAAAACATATTGAACCTATGCATAAGTAAGGCCAGCTCACCTGAGCCCAGCTACTCCCTTTCCAGCCCCTTATACAAAAGTCCCTCCACACCCCCAACAAAGTCCATCCAAGCCTTCTCGCAAAAAGGATAGTAGTTTCCCCAAACAGCCACCACGATTTCCTTCTCTCTGTCAATCCAAAACTCAACATTCGTCGCACCATACCAATACACACTTCCCTCGCTTCTTCCCTTCTCTCCATTAGCAAGGACCCTATCCGCGCCCTGCACACCACAACCCAAACCAAAACTACCGTGCGGATCGAGAAGCGGTGCAGAAAGATCCACAGGGACGATGATAGGAGCCGCAGCCGAGTCTAGTAAACAGCGAGAGTCATTACGAAGAGCTTCAGGCAACTGCGGACGACAGATTTCCATGGCACTTTCGGAGGAGAGTATGCGCCGGCCCCTAACAGGATCCACACCGGCGTTCTGCGGTAGGAGGATAGTAACAAGGTGCGCGTAATCCCCCACGCTAGCAACTAATCCCGTTCCCAAGCAACCGACATGGTGATTGCCCTCCTTCCCGGGGAACGCGTCACGTCTTCTCACCGTCTCCGGCTCAGGGGGATCGATAGTGACAAAACCTTGGCCACTCCGCAGCTTCCTAGGCCAGAACTTGCCAGTGTTGTGCGGCGACGATACGACGTCGCCGCCGTACTGCGGCTCGAAACCGATTTCCTTGAGACCAAGTGGATCGAAAATGTTGTCTTGGAGGTACGAGGCAAGAGATTGGTTGGTGATGCGTTCGATGAGGACGGCGATCCAGTCCAGGCCCTGACCGTAGTTTGTATGCGTGCCTGGCTGCCAGAGTAGAGGGCTCGCGAGGAGTACCCCATAAGGGTCTGATGCTTCGTTTGTTGTTTCCCAGACACCTTCGCCGAGGTCCTGTATATACTCTAACAACAGCTTGTTGAAGTAGGTATGGCCACCGCCGTATGTGTGATTCATCAGCATCCTTGCTGTGATGTCGCCTCTTCTATCTTCTAGCTGCCATACTTTCTTTCCGGTTTCGGAATCGATGGTGTATCCAGTCAAGACCTGTTTGGCGGCCAGTTCAGGAAGCCAGGTATCGATAGTGGCGGGATCGTCGAGCGTCGCGAGACCTTTCTCGACGAGCTGCATGTAAGCCATCGCCCCAACAATCTTTGTTAGAGATTGAACGATGACCATGGAGCTCGATGTAGGTCGTTTGTCTGGAGAATTGCCGTAGGAGAAGAGCACCTTATTCTGTGCATTTACAACATGAACGAGAGCAAACGGAATGTCGGGCGCACCTGGGCCGGGGTCGATAGCAAGATCAATATATGTTTCTAGATACGATATAGCCTCCTGGCTGATGGTATGGGACGACATAACTGCTGGTCGGTCTGCAGACCAAGTGAACAAGGTTGGAGGAGGACACTGCAAAGCTATTTATACGCAGAGACAGCGAAGACTCTCCTGCATAGATTATTATAGAATGTCGATGATGGATCGCCTGATGCTGTAGCAATTCGATCCCAAAGATGTCCACAAATTTGTCCAATGAGAGCCACTTCTCAACATGGTAGCCCAACCTGTTTTGGAGTACGGAGTGACATGGAGAGATCAGTAGGTAAGACGATGTGGGGTAGTTGATACTCAGCTGCTACTTCTGGCCTGCTGGAACCAGGATGGTAAGCGACAACCCAGCCTAATGCCATCCGTAATCGGAAATGTAACACATTCCGTCTTACTGATGCTTACTTTCCATGTAATCATATAGTAATCGAACATACTCGTATTTCTTATTCTATCGCTAGCCTCGCACAAGGCCTATGTCCATACAACCCGCTCTTCACTTAACCCTTGGTCCAAGGCAGACCCAGCTTCTTCATCTCCACCGCCAGCTGCAGGATATAATCAATACTCTCGCACTGCGTCTTGGCCTTGTGCACATTGTCCCCCCACACATAAATCCCATGTCTCCTCACAAGAATCGCATAAGAATCCGGATACTTCTCCATGGCCTCCTCTAGACTCTCCCTCAGATCCTCTTCATGCGCCGTGTTCTCGATGATGGGTATGCGCAGACGATCGTAGTAGCCCAGGTTGCCCTGCTTCCCTCGGCCTTTTGGTATGCCCTTGATCTGTTCAATCTCCTCAATCTCGAAGCACGCGTCTTTTCCAAAGTCGCGCTCGACGAGGAGGGTGACGAGGACGGCCCATTGCGAGTGGGTATGGATGCAACAGCCGGCGCCGCGTTCAAAGGCAGCCATGAAGAGGGGAGTACACGCTGATGGTTTGAGGACCTAACACGACATCAGTCACCCTGCGGCCGACCTGGCTCCGTCACGTGTACCTGTGGTCTTCTCAAATATTCTTTGCTGTTGAAGTCCATGACGAACATGTCGGTGGGCTTCATGAGCTCTTTCTGCACGCCGCTGGGCGCAATGTATATCTTGTCTTCATGGCGTATGCTCGTTCCTCCGCCAGTGCCTGTCACCTGGCGGGAACCCGCGTGTTAGCCGTGACTCAATCGTGTCTTGGTTGGCGTCGCCCAACGCTTCAAGGTCATCGTACCCAGCCCAAGTTGTAGAACTTTGCGCAGAGCGTGCAAATGTGGTTCGCAGGGTGGCTTGGATCATCAGAGTGTATGAGAGCTTCGGCGTCGGGTCCGTTGGAAGCCATTGTGATGCTGCGCAGTGTTGTGACCGCTTTGTCAAGTTTGGCCGATTTTCACAAGCCAGATGACGCGACCTGGTTTCGCGACTACCCCACGTGGTCCGCGCTAGGCGTCACCCCACCGTCGTAGTTAGGCACGGTACAAACACCCGTCTCACCAGATTCAACCAAGTCGCGCATGTATCTGAAAGAGTGCATGTGTTTATTAATAACGGAATGAAGAGCAAGGCTGTCTCCTGGTGAGAGACCACAGCCTGAGGTATCATCAATATCCAACGCTCGTGCCACTACCATTCCTCTATCAGAGTCGCTCGACTCGGGTATCATATCTAGTTCGTAGTCGTGTTCTGGGCTAGAGGAGAAGGCTCATGTTCCTTCTTCCTGTCCAAATGGAGCACTTCTTTGACCTTCTCGCCCAAACCCTTGCGGTCGGGTGAGGAGCTGTGGCCGCCGTGCTTCTCCTTGTAGACGTTTCCGGCGCCACCTCGCTGCAATCATGTTAGTTGTATATTGTATTCATGAGATGCTATGACGTACGCCAGTGTGGAACTCGTCCTGCGCGTTGCGCTGGTTGATCTCTGGGACCATGTCTACCGAGCGACGGCCTTCGTCAGACTGCGGCCCAACGCGAGGCGACTTTCCAATGTTACCAGCCCCCCCACGGCCAGTGGAGAAATCGCCATCGAGAGACTCGCCTTGGACGCCTTCGCGAACGAGGCCTCCGTCAGTGTAGACGTTGGTGTCAGGGCCAATGTTGCCGGCACCTACAGCAGCGATCAGCTTCTTGTCTTGCGTGTATTGGAAATTCTCTTTCCAGAGAAAGCGCACCTCCGCGGCCTGTCGAGTGAATTGGTGTTGTAGTCATTTTACTGTGGTGTGATGTCGCAGTTGTCCGGAAAACAAATGTTATCTTCTTGAAATATCAAAAGAGTTGTTGTCAAGGATGTAGTAATCGCTAGGATAGTCGAACAGCAGGGCGAAGCGCGGTTTCAGCCTCTTATATTTGCTCTTTCAGTCCTGCAAACAGGTCATCTTGGAGTGACGCAATGACGCAATCTCATCTCGAGGTGCTCAATCCATTGGCGACGCGGGGTGAAAGTAGCCTCCGAGTCGATAACACGCGCCGGCATGCTCATGGCTGCTAGTCGTCCAACTAATACGACGAGCCAAGGAAAGATGCGAGCATGAGGTATAAATTTTGATGGTTTTGACTGCCCTCACCGTCCCGTGGGTGTGGTTTATGCGATGGCGTGAGGTGATCTCCGGTGTTCGCGCGATAAGCCCGGGTGAATTGATTCGCCCAGCCACTGACTAAGCAAAAGCATCCCACTACTCGACTTTGATGATTGCGCTCTTACATGTCATCGCCGACAAGGACACGGCTCAAATGCGAGGACTGTGGAAGCTTTGGCGAGGGATGGGACGCACGAATATTGCTGGGTTGTGTCGCCCTTGAGTTGTTGCCACCCCTAACGCAGGGGCAGTGAGCAGGAACACGCAGGGCTCATCAAATCACCCCAACGCGTGAACTTAGGGCTGTACTTTGTCTTGATATGAAGATTAGAACAGCAACCATCAACCCCATCAACCTGAGCACGATGACTTTTTGGCACTGAACGAAGCTAGAAAACTGAACCTTGATTAAATTGGTACTGATAAACGCTCACGATAACACGGATCATGAGAAGGCCGACGGCTCGCACCCGCTCATTTGTAACAGCTGTAGGATATTGGAAGTCATGCGTGAGTCACATACAAGCAAAGGCATGTCTCGTCTTGGCACACATGTCGTTTGAGGGTATGTTTACAAAGCTAAATTACGATTATGCGCTGAACAAGCACTCTAACTAAGTCGTGAATACACGAGGTATTAATTGCCGGGAAATGGGTATCATCGCATTAAACACTCGATGGGCAGGTGGTGGTACTTCAAGATCTTAAGCCCTCTTCGTCACTTGGCCTGCTCTGTCCCTCCTCCGCGGATCTAGCTTGTACCTTGTCCTGGTCCGCATGCTTCGCTGGGTCGAAGACGTAGATTGGGAACTCCAGGAAGATGGTTCTCTTGAGAATGACCGGCAACCTGGCGTAGATTTGAGGCGGAAAAGGGATGAGAATGCTCGTACGGTGGAGGTATCGCTCGTACTCGGGCCATTGAGTGCCTTTCTCATACCTCTTCTTTGCACCGGGACGTTCTTGCAATGTCAGGCCAGACACAAACATGAGCAGTAAAGTCAAAAAGAAGGGTCCAAAGATAGACGCGTACAGCGCATCATACGCGCCGCCCGAAACGTAGTTGTATGCTGCGGGAGATACAGCAATCATGAAGATGCCTGTGACAATTAGCCTTGACATCAAAATATGAATGAACAATACTTACCAAATTGAATGATGATTTCTCCAAAGTAGTTGGGATGCCGAGTCCAAGCAAAGAATCCAACATTGCAGACCGCACCGTCGCTACCATGAGCAGTACGGAATCTGTACTTTTGAACATCTGAGACGCTCTCCATAATGAAACCGATAGACCAGAGGATGATGCCCGCGATGTCTCGACCCGTTCCAAAGTCCGGCTGGTTGAACCGAGTAACCTTGGGCGAGTTCAGGATGGTAACTGGTAATGATACTGTCCAAACCCAGAACATTTGACTACAACCATCAGCAATCACATTTAGATGACGTTAGGAGCAACTCACAACACCCAGAATCCCAGAAAAGACCAGAATTTGTCCCTCTTATCGTCAAAGCGATCATCTTTTCCACTCTTCAAAATCCTGAACAAAAGGAAACCGCTTAGTCTTGCTGCCCATAGCATGATGAAAAGCGATGCTACAATGTTGCGCGCATCGCCGCGGTTGTCGCTGAACGAAAGTGTGAGGATAGCAAGAAGAATGAAGTTGGTACCGCCGGCAAAGTCGGTGACCTTGTCGAATTTGAACCAGAAGGCGATAGCAAAGAAGAAAAGCTGGTAAGCAACAGTGATGAGGAACGTGATGGCGAGATAATAGTCGTCAAGGACGTGTACGGCTCCCATGTTGGCCGCTGGACGATGCTGACGTTGTGTACGCGCACGTTCGAGCAGGAATACGGCTACATATACAAAACCCTCAAATCTTACAGCTGCTCGCTACGTACGGAAGCCGGGCTTTCCACTGTGCGCTGGCAAAATTTGGCCGACCCCGACGAGCCAAAATCGTATATTTCGCGATAGAAGTTGGCCCTAGGGGCTGTGAAGCGTCAGGCACAAGGGTGATGACGCACGTCATCGCTCGCCAAGCCACGATGACTAGGCACGACTCTCGACCGCGATCACCAGCCTTGCGCACAGCTCTCACAACAAAACACCGACATCCACGCTTCACGATGAGCGGGAATAGAATGCGATACGGTACCTAAGCGGAAATAAATCAGTGATCGAGGATAGATACCATGCATGCACGAGCGGAGAGATAGAAACGGCATGCCATTGCCTGAAACGTTCCTGGTTTTAAACTCCATCGCCTCGAGCACATCGCGTGTCAGACCTTACCACCATGGCAGCTAGCCAGACGATCGTGAAGCTTAACCACCACCAAAACTGCCTATCGCGGGCCCGTCGATCATGGATCGTACGCCACCATCCTGTGAGAAACCTTGATGACTAGGTTGACCCGACAATGACATTACCGGCAGCGCTACTGCGCGCTGGACCCTTCGTTCGACCTTTGAGACACACTTGACCATTGTTCGAGCAGCCGCGGAAGCTCGAAACCAGCACCACATTGTTAGAAACATGGCGAGCGGGGCTGACATGTCGCACCCGTTAAGTAGGATGGTTTGCGCCTCAGTCATGAACTTTTGAATGGTTTTGGCTTGCTCTTGTACTATCCGGAAGCTTACCCTCGTTTGGATCCGAACCATCTGTTTCCATTGTGTGTCGACACGTTTTCATCCTGTCTTCAACTCTCCTCGGTCTTTCTGCTGTGCAGGTGCTGAGCGGTTCTGCATGCCTGTGACATCGTCTTCGATTCTTTTCCAGCTGGACTGTCGATGTATTAATTACTAATTTTCTTTTCCATCGTACTCGAATATTAACATTTCCGAAAACTCACCATGACAAGAGCTCAGGCATCCTGGGTGCGAGCCCTGCTCCTGATAAGCGCGGTACGTATGTTGCATGCTTGAAGAAGTCGCATGTACTGATCGTTGATAGACCATCGCCCAAGCAACGATTGATCTCCACAACACCAATGTACGGCCCGAAACCGTCGGGAGAAGGATTGAGGACTTGATATCAGGGGCCGAGCGGTCGCAAGGAAATCCAGTAGAAGCACTCAACGTACCTGTCACCGAACAAGCAAATGCACTGCACAACGGGAACATCGCCGCCAGGATCGCACAGAACGGACTAGACGCAAACGCCTTGCTAACCGGAATCGCGCAAGGACAAGGCCAAAGGAGCGGCAGCGGAGACATCAGCACGAGCGATGTGGGAGGTGACCTTGCAAATCAGATTGCTGGCGGAGGTTCAACGAGCATCGACAGCATTCTTAGCGGGCTCGATGGGCAAAAGCCGGGCGCATCGACGAACCAGACCAGTATACCACAAGGGCAGGGCCAAAGTCAGCGTCAGAACCCTGAACAGGTGCCGTCACAAGGCGGTACCCAAAGTATAGGAAGCGACATCAACTCGAGCAATGTCGCAGGTGATCTTGCAAATCAACTAGCTCCGAAGCCCGCAGCAGGAGAGAACAGCGTCAACGACATTGCTGGGGACTTAGCAAACCAACTCGCACCCAATGGACAGGGCCAGCTACCACCACCAACCCAAGCTGAAGCACAACAGAACGGCAGTAACGCTCAACCTATCCAGGTCATCTCAACCGTCATCACAGAAGCCAATGGCCAGAAGCTCGCAACAGCGCTAGTAGAGGCCGCACCTCAGCAAGCAGCTGCTCCCTCACCAGCCGCTGCAGGTGAAGCATCCGCAGCGGCAGAAGCAACATCCGCATCATCGGCAGCGACTGGGGAGGCCCCAGCTGCACCGTCACCACCTGCTGGAGAGTCAGCAGCGGGATCTTCCTCTGCCTCCAAACCAGCAAAGACAGTCTTTCCCGCAGGAAAATCAGCTCTACCAGCTGTAACCCCAATCCCCTGGACAAATTCCCCTATGGCCGCTGGATCTTCAAGCAGCAAGAATGCTACGCAGGCTGCTATGCCCGCTGCTGAGTCTATGTCGACTGCTACTCTAGCCAAAGGCAAAAACTCTACAGTAAGTTGATAATCTGGACTCGATCTGAACCATCATTAACCTTTCCCAAGGCCCTGGCTGCCGCACCCCCTGCTGCTGCTGTCACTGTCTCTGCAGGAGGAGAGCTCACAGCCGGTGCACAAGGTGCCTCAAACTCGACCGCTGCCAGTGCAGCAGCAATCGACTCGGCTACGCTCACGCCTGGAGGTCTGGCTGCAACGACCACGACCATGGTGGGTATGGCAGTTACTGTTCAGGCGGGTGTGAGTGGTAGTAACGGTACTGCTGGCGCCAATAGTGCCTCGACGAGCGCTTCTTCTAGTGGCGCTGGTGCTGCGGCAGCTGTCACAGTTGTTGCTGGCGACGGGACCAACGGAACTGCCAATGCGGCCGCATCTTCTTCATCATCTGCTGGGTCCGCAGCGGCCGCCGTCACCGTTGTGGCAGGAGATGGAACCAATGGAACCGCCAACGCAGCAGCATCTTCCTCTTCAGTCACAGCCTCAATGAACACAGCTTCTCTCAAGCCTACCGGCATCGCAGCCGCATCGACTACCACAGGCGCGGCTGCAGCCGTCACCGTCGTCGCAGGAACTGGTGGCGCTGCGGCAGCTACGGCGGCTTCTCAATGCAATTGCGCTTGCATGTGTCCTGCCGGTTCTTTCCCCATGTCCGCACCACAAGCCCAGCCCTTCCAACTAGGCTCCATGAGCAGCGCGCCATCGGGAAGTGCAAGCACGATGCAAACCGTAGTCGGTAGTGCGGTGACAGTGGTAGCTGGAGGCGAAGCGCCGCCCGGTGCTCAACAAGCTGCTTCCACGAGTTCGAGCAGTACCGCATCTATCGACTCGGCTACACTGACGCGCCCTGGTCTCATGGCTGGGACTACGACGAGTGCGGCTGGAGCGGGGGTTACTATGGTAGCTAGTGGCGATGCTTCTGCCTCTACCTCGGCCGCTTCTGGGTCCACTGCTGCTGTGACATCCGCGTCTAGTTCCATCTCGCCTTCTGTCGAAGTATCACTTGCACCTGCATCTTCTGCTACGTCTTCCTCGTCCACACCACAGGCCACGACGAGTGCAGTTGCTCAAAGCCAAGTTGCGGCCAACGCGCCTGCACCTACTGCTGTTGGAGAGAGTTCGGCACAACCCTTGCCCTTTGATATTAGTACGGTTGCGTTGCAGAGTCGGGTCACAGTGAACTTGGGGAGGAGGTTGGCCAAGCCGACGGAAGTCAAGAGGGGGTGGTGGTAGATGTTTGCACATTGGCAAAAACGGAAATCTTTTTCTTGTGTGGATTTTGTGCGCGTGTTGGGTCTGTTTCTGTGGTATATATCTGTTCGGTAGTGGCAGTTGAGTATTGAGTGCTCCTGCGAGGTAGTAATATTGGGGGAGAGAATACAAAAAGTGTGCATGCGATCCTTGTCGCGCATTACTGCTGCTTTTGTCTATGGGGTATCATCTGGTGTCTGCGGTGAGCGTACATGTCACGCCTTCGTTACGGCTGTTTTTCTTCTCCGCCCACTTGTATCTTCGCCTTCTTGTTCTTGGCCTCCTGGCGCTTCGAGACGGGCTTGTCTACCTTGGTCTCGTGGAGTGGAGTACCTTCGAGACTCCCACCCGGCCGCTTGCCATTTTGGTTTTTGTTCGCTTTCCCCTTCTGACCTTGCTTGTCCTTGGCACCATGCGCGAGTGTTTCCACCGGCTTCTCTCCACCATAGACAATGTCTACTATGCCCTTGAAGCTCTGGCGCTTCAGTCGCGCAAACTCGACCACGCTCCTCGCTTCCTTGGTAAGACCGTCTTTGCCCCTCTCGGTACCAAGTCCCCACACAGAAGCCAAGTTGATAACATCGCTCGGTGCACGTATGCCCAGCACGCTCTTCGCTTCCGAACTAAATATCAAGCCCCGACCACGGGTCACACGTATGAGCTGCGTGGCATTGCTAATCAGATTTCGCTTTGCGCCGGGATCGTTGGACATGATGCCTTGGCTGTAGCAGATTTCTATCTTAATGCCCCGGGATATAGCCATGCCCAGCGTGGGGAACTTGAAGTGTGATTCGAAGCGGCGGGTCAGATCTAGAGAGATGATGTCTACGTCGAGGCTCATACATGCTTGCTGGAGGGTGCGGTCGTCGGTTGGACGTGCGGCAACGAGGTCGTAGTGTTGTTGCAGCTGGGGTATGCGGAAGTTGGAGGCAGAGTCTGTGAGGAAGATGTTGCAGCGGCGGAGGATACGCATGCGGGGGGGCACGGGGAAGGGAAGGGTGGTGGGTACGGGTGAACTCTGGTTGAGGAGCGTTAGCGGGCGAACAGACTTATGTGAAAGCGATATAGTATTCGGTGAGAGGGGTGGACAGAGAGAAAGTCGCCGCTTCCTTTTACCTACAATATCAGAGGGTAGTTTCCCCGAATAAGTGTGTGTGAGCGCAACGACATCGTATCCTACTGCACCGCGTCAGCCTACCACTGGCGCATTCAACCTGTACTAAAAGCTCACATTCGTCGAGAAAAGCTACTGTGCGCTGCAGCTCACGCGTCGCATCGGTCCAGGGGATATTTAGATCGTGGAACATGGCTGCAATGGCTGGTGCAGAAGGCGGAGGACAAGTGCGACAGCGAAAGCCAAATGATGATTGTAAGTGAGATGGATCGTCATTCAGCAGCTGGGCCCGCGTGCTGGGAAAAGCTTGGCCCTTGTCTACTACTAGTCTAACGCCCACAAGCCATCCACCACCACCACCATCAACACGAGCAGCCAGAGCTCACCACCGCCGACCCCAAGGCACCCCCGCCCACACAGGAGGCCCATCGCGACTGTCGTGACGGCCTTTTAGCGCGCCTCCCTCGGTACGCAACAGTTGCGCTCGCTTTATTCGCTGCGCTCGCTGGCCTTGGCCTGCTCTCCCAAAGCCCCGACGTCCTCCGCCTCTTCACCCCACTATACGATCCCTCGACACCATCCCTTGCGCGTGTCGACCATACCGGCAACACTTCACTTCCAGACAATACGCTTGTTGCCAGGATGGCGCTGAACAACTCGAGCGGGGCTACAAGCCTTGCTCGCGTCTATGCAGATGTCAATGCGAACATGCCCCGGTCATACTGGGACTACGACTCTGTCAACATCTCCTGGGGCGTGCTCGAGAACTACGAGGTCGTCCGCAAGATTGGCCGCGGAAAGTACTCGGAAGTCTTTGAGGGCATCAACGTCGTCAACTATCAGAAATGCGTCATCAAAGTCCTCAAACCCGTCAAGAAGAAGAAGATAAAGCGTGAGATCAAGATCCTGCAAAATCTGTCGGGTGGCCCCAACATCGTCTCGCTGCTAGACGTGGTGCGCGACAACCAGGTTAGTGACGGCTCCGACTGGATTGGCGACTGGGTACTGAGGCCCAACCGCTGCCGTTTGCTTATGAAGAAATGCTAACGACCGCCAAACAGAGCAAAACCCCTTCGCTGATTTTTGAATATGTCAACAACACCGACTTCCGGAGTCTGTATCCCAAGTTCCAGGACTATGACGTGCGATACTACATTTTTGAACTGCTCAAGGCCCTCGACTACTGCCACAGCAAAGGCATCATGCACCGTGATGTCAAGCCTCACAACGTTATGATCGACCATGAGAAGCGGAAGGTGGGCGTGCACCGGTTTCCAAGTGGAGGAACATGGCTAACACGTACTAGTTGCGCCTAATCGACTGGGGTCTAGCGGAATTCTACCACGCAGGAACCGAATACAACGTCCGCGTCGCGTCACGTTACTTCAAGGGTCCTGAGCTACTAGTCGACTTTCAAGAGTACGACTACTCGCTCGACATGTGGTCACTAGGTGCCATGTTCGCCTCCATGATCTTTAGGCGGGAACCTTTCTTCCACGGTAAACAACCACGATACCTAGGCTGCATGTGAGGCACAGGCTGACTTGTTACAAACCAACTCTAGGCAACAGCAACTCAGACCAGCTTGTCAAGATTGCCAAGGTTCTTGGAACCGAGGACTTGTTCGACTATCTCGACAAGTACGACATTGAACTAGATGCCCAGTATGACGACATACTCAGCCGGTATCCCAAGAAGCCATGGCACTCGTTCATCAATGCCGAGAACCAGCGCTTTGTCAGTAATGACGCGATTGACTTCCTCGACAAGCTGCTACGATACGACCATCAGGTTTGTCATAGCCTACACGGGCTTGTAATATAGATGACTGACATATGGTAGGACCGACTGACTGCTCAAGAAGCTATGCAACATCCTTACTTTGCTCCTGTCCGACAGGCTGCGCAGCAAAATAGCGCCGCGGCATGATTGAGATACCCAACTTACGTTAATTAGACTTTATGTGACGGCATAAAAGTTGCAGCGAACGAAACACGCGGTCTTGCTTCCCCATATATTCATTGAGACGCAGCTGAGGTACCGGCGTACAAACAAACACTGGGCATGAATCACGGAGCGATAAGGTGTACAGGGCAGGGTGCTAGGTATCATTCTTGTATAAGCGAAGGGGGGGAAACGCAAGTAACGGTCTATAGGAGTCTGGATGCATATTGAGGTGTTTTCGGATGCTCAATCTACTCCAAGTGGCTCAAGTCGAGCGTAGTAAATGAATGTTCTGTTTTTGACATCGGACACTACCGACATGATTTCGAAGAGTGCCTTTGAGTGAATTGCGTAGCATTGCTCCATGGTTCGTCGTAGGCGGGGTCCGTCCGAGCTTCTCGATGTGGGGTGACGCAGGCCCGGACTTGGACGACTCACACCCAGGCACTTTTTTGTTAATGTTGCCCCGCACCGCGCCCACTACACTGCGCGCCGCCTGCAGACGAAACCTTGAGTACCGACATCTCACAAGGCGCCAGTTGCAATTGAGGTCCCCAATCCGCACTCTATCGCGAACCTACACCCCGCTTCACGCCGAGCGCCCCTACTCGACCGCAACCATGGCGCTCAACGCGTCTTCGCACAACTCGACCGGCGAGAAGACGGCGCCCAACACTGCGCCACCACCCGAGCTCGGCGCAGACGTCAAGAAGGACATCCTGGGTGCTGCTGAACACGACGCTACCGGCCAACATGCCCCCGGCCGTGAGAACGAAAAGGGCGTAGAGAAGAAGGAGAAGTCGGCCAAGGAGCTGGAGAAGGAGCGCAAGAAGGCTGAGAAGGATGCAAAATTCAAGGCAAAGAAGGCAGCCGCCGCCGGTGCCGCCAAAGACAGCGCCGCCGCTCCAGCCAAGGAAAAGAAGAAGAAGGGCAAGGAGGAGGAACAACTACCCGCCTACGTCGAGGAAACCCCAAAGGGCGAGAAGAAGAGGCTGAAGCCTCTGGACGACCCATACACAAAGGCATACATTCCCAAGGTCGTCGAGTCGGCGTGGGACGCATGGTGGGACTCTCAGGGCTTCTTCAAGCCCCAGTTCACCGAGAACGGAGAGAACAAGGGCCCGGGCCACTTTGTTATTCCCATCCCGCCGCCCAACGTTACTGGAAAGCTACACTGTGGACATGCTCTCGCTACGAGTTTACAGGATGTTCTCATCAGGTGGCATAGGATGAGAGGCTACACTACTCTGTACCTGCCTGGTTGCGACCACGCAGGTATCGCTACACAGTCCGTTGTAGAGAAGATGCTCAAGCGACGGGAAAACAAGACGCGATACGACCTTGGTCGTCAAAAGTTCCTTGAGCGGACCATGGAATGGAAAGAAGAATACCATCAGCACCTCACAAACACGCTGCGGAGAATGGGTGGTTCGTTCGATTGGTCGCGCGAGGCTTTTACCATGGACGAGAACTGCTCCAAGGCTGTTACCGAGACCTTCGTCCGTCTGCATGAGGATGGTCTGATTTACCGTAGTAACAGGTTGGTCAACTGGTGCACGGCTCTCAACACGGCGCTTAGTACACTTGAGGTCGACAACAAAGATCTAGCGGGTCCTACCAAGTTGTCCGTGCCTGGGTATGAGAGAATGGTAGAGTTTGGTGTCCTCACACACTTCAAGGTATGACAGACTGTACAAACCAGGATACGTCTGCTGACATTCTGTAGTACGCTATCGAAGGCACCGACCAGTTCATCGAGATTGCTACCACCCGTCCCGAAACCATGTTGGGTGACTCTGGTATCGCTGTCCACCCCAAGGATGACCGTTACAAGGACCTCGTCGGCAAGAAGGCTCGCCATCCCTTCACCGACCGCCTCATGCCCATTGTCGCCGACGAATATGTTGACCCCGAGTTTGGTACTGGTGCTGTGAAACTCACACCAGCGCACGACCCCAACGATTTCAACCTCGGAAAGAAGCATGGTCTCGAGTTCATCAACATCCTGAACGACAACGGAACCATGAACAAGAACGCTGGTCAGTTCGAAGGAAGCAAGCGTTTTGATGTCCGCTACACTGTCGTCGATGCGCTGAAGAAGGAGGGACTCTTCGTCAAGACGGAACCCAACCCCATGAAGGTCCCGATCTGCTCAAGGTCTGGAGATGTCATCGAGCCCATCATGAAGCCGCAATGGTGGATGAAGATGGACAGTCTCGCCAAGCCCGCTATCGAGGCTGTCGAGAAGGGCGATATCAAGATCAGGCCCGCAACCTCGGAAAAGGTCTACATGCATTGGATGAACAACATCCAAGACTGGTGCTTGTCACGACAGCTCTGGTGGGGTCACCAAATCCCCGCTTATTTCGTTGATATCGAAGGCGAGGCAGGTGATCGAAATGAAGACGAACGCTGGATCACTGGCCGGACAGAAGAGGAGGCACGAGCCAAGGCAGAGAAGAAGTTCCCCGGCAAGAAGTTTACGCTATCGCGGGACGAGGATGTCCTCGATACATGGTTCTCCTCGGGTCTGTGGCCGTTCTCCACCCTGGGCTGGCCCAACCAGACTGCCGACTTGGACAAGCTCTTCCCCACATCTGTCCTAGAGACTGGGTGGGATATTCTCTTCTTCTGGGTTGCCAGGATGATCATCCTGTCGCTCTACCTCACCGGCAAAGTTCCGTTCAAGGAGGTATACTGCCATTCGCTCATCCGTGACTCTGAGGGCAGGAAGATGTCCAAGTCGCTGGGTAACGTTGTAGACCCTGTCGACATCATGGATGGTATCACACTGCAAAAGCTGCACGACCAGCTTCGTGCGGGCAACCTTGACCCCAAGGAGTTGACCAAGGCGGAGAAGTATCAAAAGAGTGCCTTCCCCCAGGGTATTCCTGAGTGCGGCGCTGATGCGTTGCGCATGGCTCTTGTTGGATACACCACCGGAGGAGGAGATATTTCTTTTGATGTCAACGTAAGTGATTTCTGATACTCTGCCCTCAAGAATGTATACTGACTCGTTGGTCTAGGTTATCCACGGATACCGAAGGTTCTGCAACAAGATCTACCAGGCCACGAAGTACGTCATTGGACGTCTGGGAGAAGACTTCACCCCACGGGAGAAGGTCACAAAGGGAGGCTCAGAGTCACTACCTGAGCGATACATTTTGCATCAGCTCAATGTTGCCGCCAAGAAGATCAACGATCACCTGGAGGCACGCGAGTTTAGTCTTGCTACCCAGACTGCCTACAAGTACTTCTACGAGTACCTGTGCGACACGTACATTGAGAACAGCAAAGCCATCTTCGACGAAGGTAGCGAAGAGCAGAAGGAAAGCGCGAAACAGACACTCTACACTGCCATCGAGGGAGGCCTCAACATGATTCACCCCTTCATGCCCTTCCTGACAGAGGAGCTCTGGCAGCGTCTCCCTCGCCGACAAGGCGACAAGACGCCCTCCATCACTATTGCACCCTTCCCTCAGTACACACCAGACTTTGAAGACGCGACCGCAAACGCAGAGTACGAGCTCCTTGTCGACAGCGCAAAGGGTCTGCGTTCGCTGACGGCTGAATACTCCATCAAAGAAGGCGCAGCCACCTATATTCAGTCCCTCACCCAAGCCACCCACGCCACCCTCACAACCCCGACCTCCCTCCCTTCCATCCGCTCGCTCGCCGGAAAGACTGTGGCCGACATTACGATCCTGTCGCCCACGGATACAGCACCGTCTGGCTGCGCCGTCTACACCATTGGCACGTCTGCGACGGCGTACCTCGACGTCAAGGGACGCATTGAGCTCGATAAAGAGATTTCCAAGGCGGCAGACCGACTGAACAAGGCTAATGAGACGATTGCGCGTCAGAAGAAGATTATGGATGATGAGTGGGAAGCTAAAGTTAGTGATGCTGTTAAAGAGCAGGAGAGGGAGAAGTTGAGGACGGCCGAGCTGGAGGCGAGGAATTGGGAGGCTAGTATTGGACAGTTTGAGAAGATGAAGATTGAGTAAGTAGTAGAGGGTTGTGAAGGGAGAGATGTATAGAGAGGGACAGAGAGAGTGTGTCTGTGTGTGAATAGAGCGAGATTGATGAGTAACAGACGTAGGGGTTGTGGATGATGATGAGCAGAAACCACGAAGAAGTTGGGAATGGACCAAACTTCGATACGAACGGCATGTATTAGCAACAAGAAAGAATTCTTCTCAATGCGCTAATTTGTACATGTGTATTGAGCATCTCCGGAAGTCTGCGGATTTGTGTGCGGTGAATGAGGTGGGATTGTTTGTGTGATTGGCTTACAATGTTTAGTGATGGAGGGTCTTGAAGATGAGGAGTATGACATCCCTGTTCTGTTAGTAGCACAGAGGAGGATAGAGGGTAGACTAGACACAGCGAGCGGTCACGATGATTCATTATTATTCCTGCATGACACAATGACACGACATTACACACTACGTCTCCTTGTGACCTGTCGAAGTGCTTTTGGGTATCTCTTAATGTGCCGTGCAACGACGGCGTTCTCTTCTACAATTCGTGTAGAGAAACAATGGTTTCCGTAAAGGGAAGGCTTATTCGCCAAGTCAAAGGCTTAACCTTGCTAAGCTAGACATTTCTGACCAAACTTGAACCCCGCGTCTCAAGTCTGTAATTATGGGCACACCTTCTCGTACGAATACGCAGTAGGCTCCTGCATAACACGTATGCAGAATGTTTTCGATATGCCAACTCAGCAGTCTTTCCCTTATGTACCGAGCCTACTACTAGAAGACATGTTTCATGTTGGTTCTTGGACATGTAACGTACCCAAACATCATCTAATCACACAACGTGTATAAGTGGGTGCTGTACATTTCCTTTTTGGATTCGCCAGAGTCTGATTACTGAATCCTGACCTGACTAGCTTCTTGGTCCGAAGTCGTGTGATTACGCAACATGGTCATCTTTCCTCGGTATCGAATCTCGACAGAGAGAACGCCGCTTGTGTCCGAGATAATACTTAGGTAAACGGTCTTTACTCGACTTTTGATTCTTACAATATCCTATTTTCAGGGTGATAAAAAAAAAGTGGTAAGCCACCCCGCTCTTTCGACGTAATACAGCATGACGAAGCCGGTCTTTTTGTTCTTCCCCGGAGCCTGGCATTCAACCAACTTTTTCGACAAGGTCGTTGGCAGACTTGAGCATCTGGGCTATCAATGTGTTGCAATTCAGTTACCAAGCGTGGGGAGAGTGCCGCCGACAACGGATCTCGATGAGGATATCGCGGTGATAAGAAGCGCAGTCTTGAAAGAGCTAGACGCTGGAAGGAACGTCGTTACAAATGCTCATAGCTATGCTGGTATCCCCGTATCCAGCGCTCTCCATGGTTTGGGAACCATTGCGAGGCAGCGTGCTGGCTTGCTTGGAGGAGTTATCAAGTTGACCTATATAACCTCGTTCATCACCTCCGAGGGTACAAGTCTCCTTGATATCATAGGCGGTCTGCCAAACGAGTGGGTTGTTGACGCCGTAAGAAAAATGGTTTTCATTACAATCTTGGTAGCATAACTAACTATCCCACACAGGACGGAAATGTCAGCTTCCAGGCAGATTTGGTCGACAGATTGTACCACGATGTCCCACGACAAGAGGCAGAGGAGATGGTTGCCGTACTTCAGCCTCATGCGCTGGGGGCTTTACAAGGAAAGATGAAATCGCCCGCAGCTTGGAGAGAGATCCCCGTTGCTTACATGGTCTGCGAGGAGGATAGAGCGTTGCCAGCTGGTGCGCAAGATGCGATGATACAGAACGTAAAAGCAGCAGGAGCAGATGTGGAGATTGAGCGGGTCGCTACTTCTCACAGCCCGTATCTTTCACAGCCTGACACGGTTGTCAAGTTTCTTTTGAGAGCAGCAGGAGAAGTGGTGGATGAGTAGCTTTTGTTCGAATATCTTGAAGTTTGACAAGATCAATCGAGAGTGAAGAGTCTTTGGGAAACGAGACGTTTCTTGCTGGACAGTAACGGTTGTGAAGCAATCCATACCTTGATTGCTATTCGGTCAACTATATTATGGCAATGACCCCTAACAGACGAGCTACTTACAACGGCCGAAATTCACATAGGCTATAATAGGTCTAGGATGACTTGCGAGATATATATTGCTCGTCCTTGTGATTGGGGTTGGGCTGACTTGCACGTGTGACAGTGATGAACTCTAGGCCCGGACTGTTTCGAGTCTCACAGCCATTCACGCGGGTGCATGATCACTTTCTTTAATTCATGTAGCTGCCTTACTAGAGGATGAACAGCGGATCTATGCTCATCACTTGTTGTCGCTATATATTCCCCCCTTTCACAATCAAACTTTGGATAATAGACTCAACCTCAATCCCCCCAACCAAGGTTACCACACGAGATTTCCGACACGATGGTCAACTCCACATCTGAAGACGGCGATACCCAGCTCAAATCTACGGCCCGCTACTCCCTGCGAAAACGTCCTGAACGCTCTCCTACTTCAAATCGTTTACGGCGAAAGAAGCGTGTCCACCGTACTCGCGGCGGTCTAGTTTCATTACGAAAGATACCCGATGAGTTTGTCTCCATGTAAGTTCATTGTTCAGATGATCCTTTGACTCGACACATGTCTGATACACATCGAAGCGTCGGGTCCAACTCGCGAGTTCCCCTTCTGCATCTTCCCGGTGAACTGCGGACCGAAATATTCAAGTACGCTCTCGGTGGTATGCACATAGTCCATGGTGACTTCAGAGGACACAGCACGTGGGACACCGTAGTCCACACCACCAGCGGCGTTTCTGTTTCTTGGCCGCAAGGGTTCAAGTTTACCTTAGCATGCGTCTGCCGTCAAGTATAGTCTGAAACTGCAACGCTTGTGTATTCTCAAAACATCTTCCATTTCCCATCCATTAAAAGTTTTGATCACTTCTTTTAGTTCTGTAAGCGGGCTCAAATCGAAGCGATCACGATACTTGTTGTCGAACCACTATGGGCGAGGCATCCTGATGGAAAGGAATGTTTGGTACGAATCCTCGGACGTTTGACAAGACTGGCGGGTCTGCGCAAACTGTATCTGAAGCGGTATCAGGGCCTGTGGGGGAGCAAACGTATCTTTGACCTTGTCAGGGAAGCGGAAGCTGCTGTGGCGGAGGGGTTAGCTGGCGATCTTGAGGTAGTGTTTGTGACCTTGCAGGGTGTGGGAACTGAGCATCGTACGATACTTCCCTAGGTAAAGTGACTATCGGGCTCCTGTGCTGATTTCAAAGTGTCTACGCGGACTTAGGTAGTGCTCAAGACCATGTGTGCGATAGCTGCAGTTATGTGAATGTTATGATACAGATTGATCTGTAGCCTAGTCTGGTGTCTGGTGATACCAAGTAACTTTAGCATGCTCGTCCACCACTTGCCACAATCAGAAGCACGTTCTTGACAAAAGAAGAGACACGAAGCCCGTTATATTCACAGGACAGTGCATCGACTCTTGTCTTTCTTCTCCTCTCTAGTTTGCTCCCAAGCCTCCACCCACTCTATGAAGGCCGCATGACCACCAAACGCCTTTGCCTCCACGAGTGCCGTCTTTGGATCCGCACCTCTGTCGAGCAGGAACCATACTAGCTCACGTGCGTTCCTTCCTGGGTCCAAGCCAGCCAACACAATGTACTGCAACGGCGTCCCCCATTCGCCTTGTAACCATTTGGTGTCAGGCGGAAAGTCCTCCTTATTGACATCCAAGCCCACTACGTCAATCAGATAGCGGACCATAGCCATACTTTGGGTATACTGCGCTCTGCCGTGCCTTTGCTTTTCATCATCCTTTTCTGGGTCGCCTGAAAAATCATGACAAAATGCTGCGTGCACCACGGCTTGATGCAGCGTACAAGGTCCTAAAGGAGCACCTTTGGAACGCAACAACTCGAATGTCGCGATGTCGCCACCCCATGCGACTCTTTCGAGTATTGGCTCGCGTGGTTTTCTATGCGGCTCCTGCCAGGGCGTCGCAAGACTTGCGCCGTGCTCTAAGCACCATACAAGCTTTTCGCGGTCATGAATACAAGACCACATGAACGGACTAAGATAAGACCGTGGAGTTCCTGTCGAGTTGATGTCCCAGCCATGAGCAAGCAAGAACTCGAGAGTCGAGATTGAGACCTCCCCACCCGAGATATCAATATGCTCAATGCTGAGGCCGTGTTCGATGAGATAGCGTAGGCATGGTATGGAATTCTTTCTTGTCGCGGCTTCTACGAGTCTTCGGTTTTCGTAATCCCCCATGCGCTCTTGCGCATTAATCTTCAGTACATGGTCCAGTAGCTCCGGCTCGTTGTTGTCGATTGCAGCATCAATGAGAACATGTTTTCCAGTCTGTGCGTCCTCCATCTGATGCATTGTAGGCTTACGAGATTAGATCACCAAATTTTGCGTGTTCTGCAGTCTACTCCGGTGTCAAGGATAAGTAAAAGTGGCCGCAGTGTGCTCGGTGGCAGGTGCTCGTTTGCTGCGGAGCCGATGCAGAGCCGATGGAAGCGTCCCTTATGGCATTCCTTAGGATTTCAGATTCTGGTCGGAGGAAGGAAGAACTGCACTTGAACGAGAGGCTGGCTGCTTGCGCGGGGTAAAACAACTTCGGCTTACCGCAAGAAGACAAAGATTAGGCATCAGTATTGAGACAACGAAAGCGGCCAAATTACTGGGCCGAACATCATAATTAGTCTGACCAAAAGCTGTTGGAGAGATCGGCTAGGCAATCATTGGTAGCTAGACACTTTCAACCGATGTGAATGCATGACATATCTGCAACTACCAGAGAAGCGCAAAGTGGATTGGGTGAGCTGGATATTTGGTGCGGTCCTTATGAGAAGCAGAGGGATTATCCAAGTTAGAAATCTAGCTAAGGTTTTTTAGCGTTATTCCTATATGAGGATATCGGAGCTTTTTGTTTATTCTTCTACTGAGATGCTTTAGCAACAGAACGTTATATATATATCTATTACAGCTTGTAAGGTGGTAAGCCTTATTACATTAGGAGCTTACAGCGATTGTCTTACTCCTACGTACGCGAAATCCAATGCCTTCGATATTGATATAGCTCATACAAGAGGAGTGAACGTGGTCTTATAAAAGATGTCTACATTGATAGCTAGAGTCGCTATTCAGAAATAACTTATGCGATTGAGCTTAAAAATGTGGAGACAACGAGCCTCAGTTCTCTACAAAGATAAAGGTGCGAAGGGAACATGACCAGCCTTTGTTGTCTCCGATATGTTTGCAGCTGGACGACCAAGTATCTCTGATACTGCATCTATTATCCGATCGTATTCCGCAATTGCGTGAAGCTTAGCCATCGTTGTGACATGCTGCAAAACGTGTTCGGTAAGACGACCTTGCATGCGCGATTCCTCCAACCAACTCTCTAAGGGAACCTCGATGTAAGGTACAGGACGACCTAGCGCTGATGAATACTCCTCAACAAGGCCGTACATGCTGGCGGATCGCGGTCCAGTCAACTCAACTGTTTTTCCGACGTACTTGGATGGCTCGAGCAGCATTGCGGCCGCGACTTCTCCAACATCATTGGCAGCCACTGGATTCGTGTGGCTTCGTCCGAACGGTAAGGCGATGACGCCAGCGTCTACAATGAACTTGGCGGGTAATCCCCAGAAAAAAGGGCTCTCCTGAAACACGGTAGGACGTAAGTGTGCCACAGGGACTCTAGACCAGTTGAGTGCCTGTTCAGCTAGCCAATGAAGCCTTTGCTGGGGTGAATCGGTAACTTTTGTTAGATCCATTCTCGAAACTGTCATCTGGGAAAGGTTGACTAGAAGCTCAATCCCGGAATTGGCTCTTGCACCTGCCGTCATGACCACCGAGGCCGTCAAACAATCAGATGCAACACTCGTGCTAAAGAACACGAGCCTGCATCCCTCGACAACTGGTGCGACCTGTTCCGACTTCGTAAGATCGGCGATGATCACTTCGGCACCAAGGCCGCGAAGATATTCTGCGCGTTCATCATCGCGACGGACCAACGCGCGAACTGGTCGACCCGACTTTCGCAGGATTTCAACGACACGCCTTCCAACACTGCCGACTCGACCCGCTGCCCCCGTTACCAACACCGGAGATGTGGTTGTTGTCATCGTGAGTGCTCGTAGATAATCGTTGACGAATAGACAGGAAGACAAATGACTGTAGTAAGCCCGATTCTATCACCACAGAGTTGGGGCTTTGGCTAACTTTATATCTTTCTCGAGCAGGTATATAAGGTTTCAGACTAATACCGTGCAGCACTGTCCGGTATGTGCCACTTGATGTTGTTGAGTAATATGCAGACATACCTAGGTATGCTATTGCTGGAGAACCCCGCGCTTTACCGAAGTAATGCCCAGCGTCTAGAAGGAAGGCCCTACGATTTTCTGTAGCCTATTGTCGTGGTGGTTGAGATTCTCCCATTACGGCCGTATGGACGATACCGGTAAAATGGGCGCCAGTCACGCCAGCCTCCCCCGAGGCAGCTTCGATCAAGACCAATCATTAGTGAAAAATGATTTATCCCGAACACGCAGGCTCGATAGGGTCGTGTCGGACGGATTGTATCTATACGAAGATCTTGACTTAGTCGAGACTAATTACCCTCGTGAAGGGTCAAGCTTCAATCACACTACAGTCAGTCTGGTAGAGTAACTTGGAGTTACTCCACCAGAACGGTCGCTCGATACAAGTGATAATGTTAGATTATATGTAGCCATGGATATACTCTACCGCAGTATGTATGAAGTCGTTCTTGATCACAGACAACAAGCTCTATAAAGTATCCCAATAATGGCCCTATTCTTGATAGCGCTATTGCTTGCGGTAGCTGCCTTAACACTGGTGCTAGTCACACTGATGCTAGCCTCACTGGTGCTGGCCACACCATCGCTAGTTACACTGGTCGTTATGACTGGCGCAGCGTTCTGCAATGCTCTGAAAACGTTGATGACGCCTTTGCCTCCACAAAACTCCGCTTTGTTACCAGTGCAGGGTATATTACAGTCAGTCTGGTTCTTGGTCCACTCACCAGCCACGTTGCTGCTGCACCAACACTGGTTCCCTTCCTGCACTCCTGCGAAAGTATAGGCGTGGCGGTAGCAGCTGTCCTTGCACTTTACAACGCTTAGAGACGCATCTCCGTTAGGATCCATGTTTTCCTCAAGAATTGGGCGATTGGGGTTCTGAGCGTAGCATCCCAAGGCGTCCCAGGAGGTAGGGGAAGGCTCAAGAGAAGGAGCTTGGCTCGTGCTGGTGGTGGTGGTGGTCACCTTCGAGGAGGTTGTCGTTGGATGGATACTGTCATATTTCCTTTGCGTGATAACACAGTAGGATTGCCAATCCCAGGGTTCGCAATCAAGGCCGACTGAAGGGTTCCATTCGCTAAACTCTGCTGCGGTGTCTGAGTAGTAAGATACAGTATCAGTATGGGTAAGTCATCAGCTGTGCGAAGGGGACTTACAGCCATACAGCTCGCGCACCCATTCGCAAGTCTTGCCTTGGCCGTTGTCATACCACTCGATGCAGTCGTAGACCGTTTCAGGGTCCCATTGGAGTAGCGGATAGCGTGAGGAAGCTACTCGCTGAGCAAAGGCCACAGACAACAGTGCGAAAGCGGTTCTCATCATGCAGATTAGCTTGAGGCTCAAAAAAGATTTTTCTGAGGGATGGAAGCAGATGATGGGGAGATGTACAGCACCCTTGCTGGAATTGAACAAAAGAGACAAGATCCGGCTTTGGCGTAAGGCGGTTCGATAATTTGAACCATCCTTTGACTACTGATGCCGGGTTTTAGAACGCAAGCCAATCGAGCTTCGCAAGGCAATATCGAGAATCCTTCAGCGAGACATCTAGGCTCCCGGCTACAGGGAGTCTGTGCGAAGCAGCTGCTTCCTGCGGATTTGCCAGCCAATTCGGCAAGGCCGCTGGTTGACTCGCGGTGGCATCCTGCTCTGCTCATTCCGCTGCGCCACTGTCAAGATGCCAAGTGCATGAGTGAAATTTGACATGTTGTATGTAGTCGCCCGCGGTTCGTTCACGTTCACGCTACCCGGCAGTGTGGGCCATGCGGCGCGGCGGAAAGAAGGCTTGTTTTGGAAGGTGCCAAGAAGGGGAATCTTGGGTAGTGTTGTGTCTCGTGCGTTGCGCCCGAAGTAAACTAGCGGCCTCTTGCCCCTGGATACCCGCATCCAGTACCTGCATCAGCCTCGTCGTAGAAGCAGGCTTGATAAAGCTGAGCCGCATCCTATGGAAATTCTGTTAACAGAACTTTTGTTACGCCGTATTCGATCATTAAACACATTGCTTAGTGAGATAGCATATCAATCTGTTGTGCTGGCCACTTCATCGGGCTACTAGCGACAGGTCAAGCATACTCGGTCATTGCCCAACATCATGTCCACTTTCCACCCATTCCCTCGACTACCACTGGAGCTTCAGAGGCAGATATGGAGGTGCACTGCTGAGCCGCGCACCGTCGAGGTTCGCATCGAATCCAGGGCGGCTACTAAGAATCGCTTATTGATATCGTCCACACCGGTGCCTGGACCGCTACAGTGCTGCAGAGTGGCCCGAGATGAGTTACAGAGGTTGTATCAACGAGCTTTCTTCGATATTGGCACTCAACAGGAGACGAAGCCGCGTACGTACACGTACTGGTACGGCTTCGGGTTCGAGAAATCATCCACTAGTCCTTCGCGTCCTCCCCACCTGAGCAGTCCCGAATCCCGCGTGAATCGCCATCATCGAAGCAATTCTGAACCCACCGCCATCGATACACGTCCGTTCGATCCGCCCAAGGAACGCAGGCCATCTGGTGTGTGCCTCATCGACAAACTCGATGTAACTGGCATCTACGAACCTAGTATCGAGCGGCGATATGTCTGGTTGAACTTTGACATCGACATGGTGGACATTGGGACTTCCTGGTTGGCCTATTTCCAGCCTATCGCATCAAACATCAAGCGACTCAAGTTTGAGCGCGAGAACACAGATGAGTATTGGTACCATTCTGAGAAAAAGAAACTCAAAGACTTCGAGAACGTAGAGGAAATCCATGTGGTCTGTGCGGATGGGTTTTTTAATTGGGGTGGTGCTACGGATGAGCATTCTTGGCCTTGTGCCGATGACAATATAGTCTTCTTCGATCCGTACAATGGTCAAGTGGCGAGGGGTATGGAATTCGAGAGGATATGTAGACAGATGTTATTGGACATGCGACGTGAACGCACTGGCGTAGCCTATCACACCAGCGATGAAGAGTCTGACAGTTGAGGAACCGCGATCTTTCCTACTGCTTATGTACGCATCTCACTGAACCGTGTAATTTGTTGTCACTCCACGGGTATAGGAAGAATAGTATGCAGACCAGTACCGTTCATTACAACCCCAACAATAACTACGTGCATCTTGAAGAACCCATATAAGTACCACCAAGTACTATGGAAAGGTCGAGAATAAAATAGCCCTAAATTAACGTCGGCCACATGCCACTGCTCAATCTCCGCATGCATGATATTTGAGAAGACGATGAACTCACTTGGAGTAAGCTTGGAAACTTCATTCCATTAGAGGGAGAGCACTCGAGGCGAGATAGACGAAGAAAGAAGTGTCTGTACGAAAACACATCACCAGCAATGACTTACATAGTGTTGAGCGCGACTACCAGCCGCTGCGCACGTTTCCGACTCGTTTGCTTTGTTACACAACAAATGCATACAGTCATCATGCAGCCTTGTTCTGCAATCTCGGTACGCGTACATTAGCACGGAGGAGTCGTGTCCAAAGTTTTCTAGACTTTGTGAGAAGTCTGGAAGCACGAGTGTGGATATGCGAGACCGAGCTGAAGGTACGCCGAACAGCGGATGAGAAAGACCGAAGAGGTGGGACAATAGCGTATCGCAAACAGGGACAACCCAACTTAGCATTTCCGAGAAGGTGCCTGGGTATGCAGTTAGTACCCAGATGCCATAAGCTCGTCGTTGCGTGTTCGGCGATAGTGATGAAAGCTAGCTTCGGCGGCGTGCATGATCACTCGCCGTGTGAGCGGTGTTTTTCCAACGCTCTCGGCTTCGCGAACAAACCTCCGACCTCGCCACTGCTGACCCTTCGGCAATCTTCAGCATGCCACCGACGACCTCACCAACACAGCCTTTGAGGGCGAGTTCAGTGCAAAAGAGGGGCAGCAAGCCAGTCGCGTAAGATGACTTGTCGTTGTATACGCTCTTGCGAAATCATTAATGTTTGTAGTTGCCAAAGATGTCACTCGCGCAAAGTGAAATGCTCGGGAGGCCACCCATGCTCAAACTGCCGCGATAACGCTGAAACGACGCCTTGCGTGTATCCATCGCGCGACCGACAGATCAAGCTCAGTGAACATCACCTGAATGAGCTGCTAAAGGATTACGAGCGTTTAAAGGATCTCGAGCGCCTACGCAGCGGCCCCTCCGGGTCCGCTCAGGCTGCTGTTCCCGTCGAAGAAGCTCTCGAAAGCAACACAGCTGTGAATGAAGCCGTGCGTAATCCACTACTTGAGGATAGGCCTTGGTTCCATGCAGTGTCTTCCGAGCATGTACCTATCCACGTTGGGGAAGCTGCCGACGCAGCATTTGCGACAAGATTCCGCCAGACTCTTGCCGTAGGAAATACCAAGCATCTCCCTCGAATGGACCACGTACAAGACGATTACCTCTTGCTGCCTTCTCAAGCCCCGTTTAATTGGCCCTCACCTGCAAGAGCACGTTTCTTGGTCAAAGTAGCCCTGTCCACTGTCTGCCAATATTACCATATCGTGCGCAAGAGCCAAGTCACGAGAATCCTGGAAGACGCTATCAAGAACAACGGCAATGGTAACCGGGTAGTCATCTGTAAGCTTTTAGCACTATTCGCCCTAGGCGAAGTGTATTCTGCCAAGCATGCTTCCATGGATGCGGTCTTTCCCGGCTTAGCCTACTTTGCTCAAGCAAGAAGGATGATTAGCATTCCTGCCGAGCGGCCGCAGATGGACACCATAGAGGTCACCCTTCTATTGGTTCGTGGTACCAAAAACATGAAGCAGAAACATTCTCTAATACTAGCAAGGTTCTTTATTCCTTCACGGTCAATCGTCGCCATTCGGCTTACATCTTCGCAAGCTCTGCCTGTAGACTGGGTCTCATAATGGGCATGAATATGAACATACCGGAACATCAGTGCCCCGATCGGCTTACGAGGGAGCATCGCGTACGGCTATGGTGGTCTGCATATGCTCTTGATAGATCATGCGCATCAAAACTCGGTCTTCCAGTATCTGTTGCTGATGAAGATATCATGGTAGACTTTCCCAGTAGTGACGGTCTCGATGCTGCAGAAGAAGGCGATTTTGGCGACACTGATTACAGCTTAAATAGCATCAAGTTGGCCAAACTTGCTGCTCGATTGACAAGAGCTATCTACAGTAGGAGAAACCATCACGATTCGTTTTCCAAAAGGGTTCAGGCGATGCTCAAGGATCTCACTAAATGGATGGACGACCTGCCAGTTAAGTTTCATCTCAAGGACAACGACAATTCAGCACCTATCCACATTGTCTACATACATCTGCGCTTCAACCAGGTTTGTTTACTATGATCACATCAAACTCAAGCTGACCTTGACAGTGCTGTATTCTTGCCACACGACCGATACTTCTACATGTTCTCCGCAGCCACAAGCAGTCATGGTCAGATCCAACTATCGATCCCAAACGTAACCTTCCTGAAGGCGCTCTCGCACTTGCGGAAACATGCATTCAATGCGCGCGTCACAGTTATCGCATCCTTACGGAAGCCTGGATTCACGGGTCCCTGGCTACGCTGGATTATTTCGACACGCAATACTTCTTCTCAGCTACTACGGTCCTCGCTATTTCTAGTCTTCTGCAGTCACCGCGGAGTCAAGCAGACGGTGACGATTTCAACAACGCGGTGGAGTTGTTACGACAGCTTGCTCGAAGCGGTAACTATGGCGCAAAAGAGTTCGTCAAGCATATGGATGCGATAGAGCAAAGTATGCAACTTGTGGCAGATACCAGCTTTGCGCTAGGTCGACCACAACAAACGTCTGTGGCCAGTGCGGAGCAATTGCTTCCTCCTTCCAGCGAGGCAATGACCGCTGGTATGGCTCTTGCCGATCCTTCCCTTCGGTACTTTCTTTCCGAATCTGATTTAGATCTTCAAGCTTTTAGTAACCCTGCTTTTGACGAATTGCAAACACCATACTGGTGGGCGGACGGTTGGGGAGTGGGTGGAGATATCTGAACAAACAATGCACGGGATGGACTGGATCTTCGCAACTAGATTGACTAATGTATTGAATAAGGCACTCGTATGTACACGATCTAACGCCGAGGACCAATCGTGGCGATAGGAAACACTGCTTCCGTTGAAATCAACTTCGGCCAACTCCATGCTGCTCGAGGACGAGCATCCTTTGCATCCACTCGTTCAACCATGGAGCTGGCATACCTAGCCGTCACGAACGTCAACCCACCAGCCGCCAATACCAGCACGGTACTGATGGTAGCAGTTGGGCCGATGCCGATAGCCTCCATCAAGGGCACCACACCAGCACTTGAGCAAGCCGAGAATGTGTACTGGACAAGGTACTTGCCCGCAATTACTTCTCTCCTCTTTTTCGGGAACGCTTCAGCGCAATACGTGTTCAAGCTCGCAAAAGCGGCCAGGAGTCCAGCCGCCGTAAAAAAGCTCGTTACGATCGGTAGTGCAAGGGCAGCTCTTGACATCGGCCCATATTGTAGACCCCATCCATACACGAGAGACGCTGTAGGAATCACCAGGAAAAAAGATAACATTCCCGCGTTCAACCGGTCTTGTGGTAGTCGCTCGCCACGTATTTTGATATACCGCCTGACCGTCATATCCGAGTAGCGTCCTCCAACTATTGTGCCAAGCAAAAAGCCAGTCGCGGGCGCGAGATAGAAAAGGCCGGACGACAGTGGAGATGTAAGGCCGAAGTGGGTAACGAGGATATGGCGAGGTGCGGAAAGGATTGAGTATTGCGACCAGCTAAGGAAGCCACAACTCAAATGCTGTTGGAGACAGTCAGCTTCTTTACTTGTGATGAAACGCCACTGCATGTTACGTACCGTCATGATGATATTTGGATAGGTCATCTGCTTGAAGACTGGCAGTGGGTTGAATTGAGCCAGCGCAGTCCGTCCACGCAAGTTCAACGTAAGCGCCGGCGCATCTGTCCTACTCGCTGGGACGAAGAACAGCGCGAGTATAAAAGCCAGACCGATCATTGCGACTTGCAGCCACAGGACACTACGCCAAGTCGAGTAGGTCATCATGATGCCCGCCACCAAAGGACCGAGAGGCGGTCCCAGGACTGTTCCAGCAAGGAAGAAACCATTCACAGTACCACGTTGAACCTACGCCAGAGCATCTGATATCAGCATTTGTCGTGTCGGAATGTGGGTGGACTACTTACAGGAGGAAAGTACTCTGCGATGATAGTCTGACCAGCAACATGAAAATAACAACCCTGCAAGCCAGACAGCACGCGCATGGTGACGAACACGGGCATGTTTGGTGCGACAGCGGCACCAATGGTAAAACTGAATAGTACCGCGACACAAGCATTGTATGCCAACTTTCGCCCCACAATCTATGTTACTTAGCTCCAACGTTGTCGTAGGCAATACTGCTATGAAGACTCACCGCAGCTATAGGACTCCACACAAACGAACTCAACCCTATGGCGAAAAGCATGCCTGCTGTTGAGAGACTGACGACTTCGGGGGTGGTGTGCAGATCTACTGCTATCTCGGTGCTTGCGCTGAGAAGTGAAGTGCTCGAAAAGCATGCAGCGAGGGTTGTCCAACTCGTTGCGAAGACGATGACATATTTGCGCCACATGGGTATACTGTCGAACATTTCTGACGCTCTGGTTTCAGTCTTGCTCAACGTGTTGGGCGGCTGCGAAATGATTGCTTCGGGCGCCATTGGCGCACTAACAGGCACGGCTTTCTCTGCGTCGTTCATGAGTTCGGGCATGACGATGAGGTCGGGATGAGGCTTGCATAGTGGATTCGGGGGTAGATGGTCTTATATGATGACATCTGAGCTTCGTTGTCATTTGAACAGTCATGTTCGGTGAAAAGTCGCGCATGCCGTCGGTGACCAGGCGTGCACTCCGAGGCGCATATCCGGCCCCACTATGATGCTGAACGACTCATCAGCACGGCGAAACGAGTCTGCGCCGAACTTGTCAATGATTCGACGTCAAGGTATATCTTACGGACATCGATCACCCTATGCGGACAAGATATCTGCAGCTGCCCTATCTTTCAGCCTAACCACACTGCATCTCCCTCATTCAGAATGGTCCACACATATACAGAAGTGCCTATCCATGTTCAAGGCACAAGCCTCACCATCTCGACAATTCACAATCTAAATTCCAACCCCCCAATCCTCTTTCTTCACGGTTTCGGCTCCAGCAAGGAAGACCTCGCAGATCTAACCGTCAATCCCTCTCTTCAACACCATGCATATATCGCTTACGACGCTCCTGGATGTGGACAAACACACAGCGCCAATCCGTCCACATCAACCATTCCCTTCCTGGTCGAAACAGCAGAAGCCATTTTGTCGCATTTCCAAATATCACGGTTTCACCTCATTGGCCATTCCATGGGCGGACTGACCGCACTACTGCTTGCGAGCCGGCGTCCGGACCGAGTACTGAGCTTTGTAAACATCAAGGGAAATCTGGCACCAGAAGACTGTTTTCTTAGCCGGCAGATATTCGATTTCCCTACCGAGGATCCAGAAGGCTTTCTCGATGCTTTTATTCAACGTACGTGTGCGACCAAGTCGTACGGCAACTATCTATTCGCGAGTACCTTGAGATCGCGTGTCCGCGCTCCCGCGGTGCGACCAATTTTCGAGTCCATGGTACGATGTTCTGACGAAGAAGACTTGCTGGGCATGTTTCTCAGGCTGCCGTGTGCGAAGATGTTTATGTTTGGGGTGGAGAACCGCGGATTATCGTATTTGAGGCGGCTAGAGGGCGAAGGTGCGATGTTGGCAGAAATAGCAGAGAGTGGACATTTCCCTATGTACTCTAACCCTGTGGAAATGTATCGCCGGATAGCAGGATTTCTGGAGGGTTCGCTAATAAAGGTTCATTAGAATTGGAAGGCCTATAGATTATAAGAATCAGAGATAGGGACAAGTTACTCTCGCCGGCCGCTCTGTTTCTCAAGTAGTGGTAGCTGTATGCGCGAGGGATGGACCACGATGCTTGTCGTACAACAGTAATGAAGAGTTTCTCGTCACTGGATGTTGCTTCACGTATGAAATTTGATACATCCAAACAAGAGCATCGGATGTGTAGATAAAAGTGTCGATCGGGGAAGTCTGATGTGGCCACTTGTAGCATTCTGAATGGCACGTCGAACATGCGCCTCGCAAGACCTGTAGGCGAACTATTGTACTTGGATACTATGTTTTTCACGAAAAAAAAGGTTGAGGTGAAACGGGGTGGCAGAAGGAGTGAAGTAAAGGACTTCGCACCCCTAGTGTAGAAACTACCCTGCACAAGGGAACAAAAATGTGGTATCGGCTCTAGATTTGAGCTCTGGATGAGTGTGCACTGTATACATTTCTGGAGCTTTACACAGCACTAGGTGCAGCAGCAACGAGCGAGATTGTAAAATCTATGAGTCCAGTCTTTCGTGTTGTAGACTGCGAGACTGAGATACAAAGCATCATGTCTCGACATGGCAATGGACATGCAGACCACTCAATGAGCGGAGACAGTCTTTTTCTATACTTAAAGTCTTCAGTAAGGTTACTTCACATAGAATCTATAGCTTAAATTGGATTACAGGTTTACCAATTGTCTAGTGCACAGTTAGCGACACCGTCATTCAAACCTCAACTCCACAACAGCATGTCCACTTACCTGGCCGAGCGTTCTACCAAGCTCTGGCAGATCTTCCAACCGCTTCTGTGTCGTCACCGGGCGAACCAAACCACGGGAAACAAACTCAAACGCTTCATACATGTCCTCTCTTGTGCCCACGGAAGAGCTAATGATTCTAAGATCATTATCAATCATAAGCAGCGGCTCGTAATGGACTTGTTGACCTGGAGGGAGGATCCCCACGCAGACCATTGTACCGGACGGTCCCAGCAGCCTAGGCGCACTTTCATACGCAGCGCTGACGCCAGCGCACACAAGCACCGCTTTGGCACCGCGGTTCTGTGTGATTCTCATGACTTCGTCCGCAAGGTTGGTAGTAGCAAGCACGTCGACGTACTTTTCCGCACCAGCTGACAAAGTAAACCTGCCCTTTTCGCTCCCAGCATCAATGGCTAACACACGGTATCCCATCGCTTTGGCGTACTGGACAGCCAGACTGCCGACACCGCCACCTGCTCCAGAAATTGCAACCCATTGCCCAGCGACTGCACCACAGATCTTGAGCGCCTTGTATGCCGTGACGCCGCCGCATACAATGGGCGCGATGACTTGATCCTCGACTGCTGCGATGGACTCTGGAATCTTTATGATATATCTCTCCGGCACGACGGCGTATTCCGCAAACGTCCCGTCAATCTTGCGTCCCGAGTTGAGCTGTGCCGTGCAGCGAGCCTCACCGCCGGGCTGCAGGCAAAAGGCGCATTTACCACAGATATCGCGGAGCCAGGCAATGGCGACGCGGTCTCCGGTTTTGGCTGAGCTATCTGAGACGGCTTCGCCCTTGGCCACAATGTACCCGACTCCCTCGTGGCCCAGGATCTGCCGTGTGGGGCCCACTTTGCCCGATGCAAGCGCCATGTCGGTTCCACATACTCCAGTCACGGACAGCTTGACTAGCACATCTGTGGGGCTAAGCTCGGGAATGCTAACGTCGTTGATTTCAAAGGTGAAGGAGTCTTCGGAACGCTGTGTGTCGCGTTGATTAGATGATTGCTTTTATCTTTCCCTGGAGGTGGAAAAGTCATTGGTGGCAGACTCACTTACTACGACTAACGCCGCCTTCATGGTGGAAGGGTGACTTGTCATGTTAGGCAGTTGCGCAACTTGATGGTAGAAGTACCATACGTATTGAGGATAGTACAAGAATAGATGGATGACACAACTTATATGTTACTCCTGTCCGGAGCTCCCGCATAACATGATACAAATTGGATGACCACAGCTATAGATAAGCACGTCGAGTGAATCGCATCGTAGGTCTACCAGATTAACTTGAATAGGATAGGAGCTATACCTAGGTAAA